TTGCAAGATGGTTCAAAGATCCATTATTTCTCTCTATTTCTCTTTGTTGGTCAATTTGGCATGCCGACGTTGGCTCTAATAATATTTCTTTCCATGTCTAGGGTGTCTTCTGCACCCCATCCCTACCTTCCCATGATAAATTATTATAAACTAACTTAAAAAATATATAATTGATTTAATGAGTTTTCAAATAGTACAAATCTATTTGATAAGGATTTATGTTGATACTTCGGACTTTATATGGTTCATATTCCTACAAAATTGAAGGTTGGCTATTTAGTGTTTAATATTTCCCACTTGCTATTTATATTTTGAAAACTTGAACCGAGTTAATATGGTTTTCAGTCTGCACTTTTTCATGCGCCATGGCTATATACTATGCTATTAATTTTCTTTTTCTATTTATTCCACTTTAAGTTTTTGTTCGTTGAATAAAATCAGTTTTTTTTTTCCTTTGCAGAAATAACATTATAGATCTGATTTTTTTTTAATTAATAAGAAAAGAGTTATCGCTTAGTTTTTTATTTTTCTTCTCTAAAATTGTCTTGCTAGAAGATGCATATCAATTTAATAGTGGGTATTTTGCTGATGCAAAATTTTGAGTCGAGCTACTCTCTTCTAACAAAAGGCGCAAGCTTGTATTTTTTCATGAAAACCCTAAAATAAGTCAATCCACGAAAATTTAGTCAGACTAAAATTATATGGAATATCAATTTGATCAAGAGTATGTTCTTGCATATCTCTGTTGCTTGAAGTTAAGATGTAAAATGCTTGTACTCACGTTATGGAAGCCGTCTCGGGTGGCGAACATGTTGATGTGATCATTGGAGCTACTGTTGTTGATGGAAAAGTGACTCCAAAGGTTCAATCATTGATCAAAGTACTTCTGAAGTATTAACATATTAAGATTTTCGTGCTATTATATTTATTGAACGTGTTGTAGCTGTATTGGTTCTTCCCAAGGTCAGTAAGCATAAGATACATATTTGATGGTTTTTGTTAGCTATAGCTTTCACATGATTGATTAATCATTTTGTCATTTACATAACAATCCATAGGTTTTGTTAAATCAACAAGTTTGATTGTGCACAACAATAGTCAAGAAATGAAAACTAGCCAAATGCAAGTTACAATTGTCCGGTTCCAGGATGGTTGGGTATGTCATATTATTATTTTAATTATTATATTTGCTTGAAGAAGCCTTTTAAATATCTTATATTTTGTTATTATAAAACATGTTCTGCAGGTGACTATTTTAGTTGCCACTAGTGTGGCTGAGGAGGGACTTGATATTCGACAATGCAATGTTGTCATTCGCTTTGATCTTGCAAAAATTGTTTTTGCATACATTCAATCCAAAGGTCGGGGTAGAAAACCTGGATCATATTATATCGTGATGGTTGAAAGGTAACTACAGTTGGTTTGTGTTTTAATATACTAGTTATAAAAAAATGATTTAGATGGCTTACCTGACTATTTCATGTTTGGTTTTAGAGGAAATTTATCCCACTTAGCATTTTTTAAGAATGCACGAAATAGTAAGAGACTTTGCAGAAAGAAGTTGTAGAGAGGGCTAATATTAGTCACCAGAAGGATTTATGCAATGTAAACTCTGGTGAGCTAGTAGCTGGTACCATGTATGAGGTGGAGTCTATTGGTGGTGTTGTGATTTTAAATTTAGCAGTTGGGTTCATCCACTTTCAATGCTCCCAACTTCCAAGCAATAGGTTTATGTAATTTTCCTAATCATGCAATTGATACCTATTGCTATTATTTTCATTATCCTTGTTTTTTTTAGATTCATATTTCTCACCCTTTGATTCATGTGTACATATTTGATTCTTCATCCAGAGTTTATAATGGAGTGCCATGAGAAACTTGGATGTGCTACTGAATATTCTTTCAAGCTTCAACTTCCGTGTAATGCACCATTTGAAAAATTTGAGGGACCTTTATGCAGATCAATGTGGCTTGCACAATAGGCGTGCCTTTAGTTTCAGTGTAGAGTTACAATTGTTATATATCTATTTATTGTTAAATGACTTGTTATTTTTATTATGTTTGTTCTGCTGCTTGCAAGAAACTTATTGAAATGGGACCATTTACTGATATACTACTACTAGATAAGGAGATTGGAGGTGTGGTGCACGTCTTTGGATATTTATTTTATTAATTTTTTATTTTATAATGCATAGTTACGGTACTCTATCCAATTGTATCTAAAATCTTTGCAACCAACTTTGAAATTTTGTCGAGTAAAATTTAATCCTTTAATTTGCACTAGTTGTCACTTGAGCCAGTTATGGAGGCGTGGTGCACATCTTTGGTAACGCATACATATGAAAGTTGTTGTTTTAATAAAAAAAATTAAAAATACTGCTGCAAATGTGCACCAAAGAGATGGCTGTGTAATTAAGATGTTTCAACGATCCATTCTCTTTCTCATTCTTTCTCTCTGTTGGTCAATTTGACATGTCAATGTTGGCTTTCATAATATATCTGATCGCATATATTTCCATATCTAAGAGTGTATTCTGCACCCCAGTCCTACCTTCACATAATAAATTATATAAATTAACTTAAAAAGTATATAATTGAAATTTAATGAGTTTTCAAACAGTACAAACCTATTTGATAAGAATTTATTCTGAGACTTAGGACTATACACGGTTATTATTCCTACAAAATTGAATGATGTTAATTAATGTTTAATAATCACCACTTGCTATTTATATTTTGAAAACTTGAACGAAGTTAATATGGTTTGCAGCTTGCACTTTTTCATGTGTTATGGCTATATATTATGCTATTAATTTTTTTTTTCTTCTTCCACTTCAAGTTTCTAAAATCAGTTCTTTTTTTTTTTTTATACAGATATAACATTATAGATCTAATATTTTTATTTTTAAGAAAAGAGTAATCGTTTGATTTTTTATTTTTCGTCGCTAAGATTGTCATGCCAGAATATGCATATTAATTTAATAGTTGGTCTTTTGCTGATGCAAAATTTTGAGTCGAGCTACACTCTCTTAACTTAATTCAAAAATTTAGAACAGTAAATTATATTTTGAGTGAACTAGGGCAATGATGTGCGTACAAGGTGTGATGACGTGGTATTTTAAAAATGATGCTCATGATACTATCTTCACTATGATTGTGTGCATTACTTTAACAAAATTTAATGTATTTTTTGGACAATTTCTAATTCAGTTATTCTCTAAAGTACTTTGTGATAAATACACTTATTTTGAAGAAGTTGTCATCGAGAAGTATGCTAATTGATGAAAATGTACTTCATATGCGTTTTCAAACACATATATTAAATTTAACTGTCGGGGATGAACTGAAAGTAATTAGTAGTGCAATTGAAAAACTGCATGATAGTATCATTTATTGGACCACAATTGAAAATTTTGAAGAAACTCCTCACAAGTTGCATATGAATTGTACTGGAATGTTAGTTATTGATTGCATAACTTGTTTTAATTCTATCAATTTAATCTTAAAGACCACTATAATATATAATGATATATTTTCACAAGTTCAATGCTCGAAAAGAAATTATAATAAAGAACCAAGTAAAGAAAATTGAGAAATTGTAATCGAAATATGTAGAAAGTTGAAAGTTTTAATTTTTTTAAAACCTCTTTATCCTACATTTAAATTTTATATTGCACATTTATATGAGATCAAACCAAAAATCTATAAATCAATAAGAATTCAAATATGTTGTTTAAAAAATTGCCAAGAAAAATGCTTGCGGATTATAAAAAATATTGGAGTTGATTGTTATATCATGTTAGGATTACTGTTGTATTGAATTAAGGTACAAATTAAAGTTGATTGAGTTTTACTTTTAATATGTGATATTTTGTGAGCAAAAAATATGAGTATATTTTTATTGAAACTTTGTATAATTAATAATATTTATTTAAATTTAAAATCCTAAAAGAACAAACCTTATTAGTCAATCTTAAAATTATACTCACTCAATTTTTTTTTTTTTTTTTATTTAAACATCATACTAATTTTTAATGATATTCATATAACCAATTACGGTTTTTTTAATGATATTCATATAACCAATTACGGTTTGAACCGATAGGTTTATGCATATTCATTTTTAATACTATTTTTTTAATTTTTTTTAAATTTAAATTTTATTTAAAAATAACTAATTTTGATTTTGATTTTATTTAGATATATATTTATTATTTATTTATTGTGTAAAAATTATATAAATAATACTCCTTCTGGCCCATATAAAATATTCATTTTTTTCCCGGTTCGATCCGTATAATATATCATTTTTTTAAAAAAAATATAATTATATACTTTAATTATATTTTAAATTTTATAATTTATAATTTTATTAATTTTAATCAAATTATCTAGTTATTTAGGGTGTATTTACTTGTGAGATTTAATTTTTGGTTTTACTATTCCAATTTTTTTCTTTTCAAAAAGTATCAAATAAATTTTATTTATTATATTATATTAAAATTAAAAATATATTTAAAACATCTAATCAATATATAATTATATCACATCAAACAATTATTTCAATCTAAAATTTTACTATTAAAACTAAAATCTTACGAATAAACACTTACAATTATTATTATTATATAATAATTATTTTTAATAATATAATATATTAATATGGATAATCTAGCCAAAACGAAAAAATAACGAAAAAATTAATTGATTAGATTATTACATTATAAAATTAATTAAAATAATAAAGTAAGTTAAATTTTGAATCCAAATAAATTAAAAATATAAAAATATAATATAATAAATGATAAAATAATTTAAGTTAAATATAATTACATAATAAATTATTATAAATTTTAAAAATAAATATAAAAAATAATATTATAAGTATTATTTTTATTTTATAACAATTTATTAATATATAATAATTTTAATTATAAAATATTGCTATTAAAAATTATACAATTTTGCCCTACTACATCCACTCCAACCCAGAGTCCACAACCGCCACGCCGCACAGGTTCTCTCCCCCACCTTCTTCTTCATCCCTCAATTCTTTCGTTTCTACTTCTTCTTCTTCAATGTAGCCGCCCAGGTTATTTCTGTATCGTTGTTCCCAATTCTTTTTCTTTTGTTCTCTCTTTTTTTTCGTCGTCCATTACCCACCCCCACTCTTTGCTTTCTTTAGTTTTGTTAGTATACTATTTTAAGTGGTGGGGCCCCAAAAAAAACAAAAAAATAAAAAATAAGAAAAAATTCTGAATGTGGCGGAACAAAATAAAAATCCCTCTGGCCCGAGGTTTCAAGCCTTGGCCGCGAAGACATTACATCAATGGTGGCCGTATCACTCTAAAAGGCAACCTTCATAAAGTTCCCAATTCCCCCACAGTAACAATTCCCTTGGGTAGTCACGAAGGAATTCCCAATCTGAGGGATATTGAGTTTTGATCGAGAGAGATTAGGCGGTTAGGGTTTTGGATGGATGAAGAGAAGAGATGAGAAGAGAGAGCAGACTGGCGTAAGATAGACCGCTGCTGTTAGTGTGGAGAATCTTCGAATCACCCAACTTGATTTTGGTGGTTCCATTCCTTTTTTGTTTTCAGCTCTTCGCGTGCATCGTACGGTCTGGTCTATTTCACGCTCATCTGCTTTCTCCCCTCTCTCTATCTCCTTTCCTGCCTCCTCTCAAGGGAATCTCTCTCACTTGGTGTTTGAGCTGGAACGTTGCTTTACAGTTATTTGTTTTAATTATTACTGTCGTATTTACTGGAGATATTGCAAGTAGAGATTAGCTTGTTCATATTATATTGCCACTTCAGTTTACACTCGTAGCAAGTTAAAAACAAAAACACAAAAAGTGCAAAAAAAAGTTGTACTGCTGCTTCTGTACTGGTTGTAATCTGTTTATTTTGTAATTTTTTAGCATTTTCTATTACAACAGAATGTCTAAAGAGGAGGGTGTGGTGGATTCAGTTAATACTTTTACTGCTGCTGATGGCAGATCGACTTACTGGCTAGATGCCTGTGAGGACGTATCATGCCATGATTATTTTGCTGATTTTGAACCTGCCACAGCTGCTTCTGTAGTTCCTGAACTGGAAGGACACTCTCAGGGAGGGTGCCAGGACCCCGGGTTTTTTGGTGGGATCGATCAAATTCTAGAGAGTATAAAAAATGGTGGGGTTAAATCACCTGTTGTTCACACGTCTACTAACAACGTCCAGAATGAATGTGAAGATTTGTACTCATCTTCCGCGCAAGCCTGTATCTTGGATCAACCTATTGTGCACAAGCTTGCAGTTTGTAATTCCAATGGGAAAAGACAGCTGCCTCCCTATATTGAAGGATTCAAAGATGATGAAATTGACATTAGCAAAGATATTGGCAGTGTTGGCAACAGTCAACAAAGACGCGATGGAAAAGTTTGTGGGAGGGGTAAGAAGGAGAGGAGATTATCGGATAGGGGTTCTGGAAGAAAGAGATTGCGTGATTGGGATGATAATCAAAGTGATGGGAAGGTTCGGAACCAACTAAGGAGAAGAGATCGCAATAGCATGGCTAATTGGAAGGACAGAGACTCTAGGGAAGCAAGGGGTTATTGGGAGCGCGAGAGAGAGACAAATGAATTGGTTTTTCGAATGGGTTCTTGGGAATCTTGTCGAAATAAGGATGAAAAGGTGATCAATGAGAAAAATAACACTTGTGCAGACGAGAAGAAAGCGGATGAGCCTAAAGAAAAACTTCCTGAGGAGCAAGCTCGCCAGTACCAGTTAGATGTTCTTGAACAGGCCAAGAAGAGAAACACTATTGCTTTTCTTGAAACAGGGGCTGGAAAAACACTAATTGCTGTACTCCTTATGAGAAGCATTTGCGTTGAACTACAAAAACAAAATAAGAAAATGTTGGCTGTCTTTTTGGTGCCTAAAGTTCCTCTTGTTTATCAGGTAGTCTTTTACTGTGGCATCAGTGAAAAGTTTGAACGTGCTTGTGTTTTCTTCTGTTTGAATGTTTTTTTTATTTTTTTCTGTTTGAATGTTTTTTATTTTCTGAAATGCAGCAAGCAGAAGTAATACGTGAGCGAACAGGTTATCAAGTTGGCCATTACTGTGGTGAAATGGGTCAGGATTTCTGGGATGCACGGAGGTGGCAGCGTGAGTTTGAGAGTAAGCAGGTCATGTTGAACTTTTTCATAGTAATAGTAATGTTATTTTTTATGTGGGAAATGGTAGTTTGCATGTTGGATAAAAAAGTGTTTTCTTTTGTCTCTTATATCCTAACATTTGATATAGTATAGAATGATGAGACTTGCATGTCTATTTTAAGGGATGAAGTTGGCTGAAAAAGAGAACATAAGTTTTTATTTTTTATTATTAATTTTTTTGGGGGGTTGGATGGGAAGGATTTGGAAGTAACGGAATGAGATTGGTTGGAAACTTCCTTCACAAAGAACTTTTCATACACGTTTGGGTGGAAATTCTTTTCTTGTTTCATTTCCTTTTAATTCATTTACAACTCCCAAAGTTGTGATTATTTCTTAAGAACATTATTATGTTTATGGAAATTTAATAATAATAACTGTTAATTTTCATTGCTTTTAGAAGTGAAAAACTTTGAAGTAACAATTTTTACATATTTGGAGTGAATATGCACTTTTATTTCATTTAAAATTGAATTCGATGGGTGATGGGGGAAGATATAAGAAGTTAGGAATTATATGTCAATGCATTTAAAAAAAGGGGGGGGAAGAAAATATTCTTGGTAAAGTAGAATGATAGATCCATGTTGTTAATGAATGAGATAGCTGACATTTTATGAGAGTGATTATGTATGTCGATTTTTGAATTGCAATTATATATAAAGGCATACCTTTGAAATAAAGGAGGAAGGTTGATGTCTAAACAATTATCATTTTAGTGTAGTGCAAGATTTTCAAGTTACATTGTCCTGTTGCTCAATTTACTACGAAAATTTTTAAGTACCTAACTTTCCCTATTCATGCTGCTAATTGATTCAGGTCTTGGTGATGACTGCTCAAATTCTTCTTAACATTCTTAGACACAGTATTGTTAAAATGGAAGCAATCAATCTCCTTATTTTGGATGAGTGTCATCATGCTGTGAAGAAGCATCCCTATTCTTTAGTAATGTCGGAGTTCTACCATACAATACCTAAGGACAAGCGTCCATCAGTTTTTGGGATGACCGCATCTCCTGTGAACTTGAAAGGTATTCTTTTGTATGTCTAGATTAATTATTTTGGTATACTCTTGAGGCCTCTATTTTATCTTTATAAATGTGATAGAAATGATGTCATGTTTATGATGACTTTTGTACACAGGATGCTTCCAAACATTAAACACCTTATTGGTGCTAGAAATAAAAAACATCAGTGTTAAATTATTGTTGACTCATGTAATGATGTGTTATTAGAGGCAACACACGGCTTATAAATTCATCTTACCTATCCCTTTCATATGACAACTGCTTTTATCTCAGGCGTTTCTAGTCAAGTTGACTGTGCACTAAAGATTCGCAATCTTGAGAGCAAATTAGATGCTGTTGTTTGTACCATAAAAGATCGTGAGGAGTTGGAGAAACATGTACCAATGCCTTCAGAAATGGTCGTGGAGTATGACAAAGCTGCTAGTTTATGGTCTCTCCATGAGCAAATAAAACAAATGGAACAGGCTGTTGAAGAGGCTGCTCGGTCAAGCTCCCGGAGAAGTAAGTGGCAATTTATGGGAGCAAGAGATGCTGGGGCCAAGGAAGAGCTGCGGCAGGTTTATGGTGTTTCTGAGCGGACTGAAAGTGATGGGGCTGCTAACTTAATTCAGAAACTTAGGGCAGTAAATTATGCACTGGGTGAACTGGGGCAGTGGTGTGCTTACAAGGTGTGGTGATGTTTTTTAAAAAATGATGCTCATAATACTATCTTTTCATCTATGATTGTGTGCCTTACTTTAACATGGTTGAATATAGTTTTTGGACAACTTCTAATTTAGTTATTCTCTAAAGCATTTTGTGCTAAATCTGCTTCTTTCTTCTCCTTTGCTACATTTAATAATTCCATGTTGGCTCTTGAAGTTTTTGATTCCATGATTTGTTGATTTGAACATTGTTGTTGTGACAATTGGGAATTATGGTTGTGCATGTTGCGAGGTGGTTTAGGTTTCCTAGATTGTAGAAACTAGAGTTTTGAAGATTTAGCTCCAGATGAAACTGTTTTTTTATGGTTGACTGCTACATTGCACATGTTTCTCATGCTGATTCTTTTGCAGGTTGCACAAGGATTTCTAACTGCATTGCAGAATGATGAAAGGGCAAACTTTCAGCTTGATGTCAAGTTCCAAGAATCATATCTACAAAAAGTTGTCTCTCTTTTACAATGTCATTTGTCCGAAGGAGCCATTTTGGAGAATAATACTGGAGACACCGACATGAAAAGTAGTGCTAACGACAATGGTGCTGACGATTTAGAGGAAGGGGAGCTTACTAACAGTCATGGTGAATAGTTACCTTTATATTATGTGCAGTGTACATTTCTGACATTACTAATAAATCACTTTTTGGTCATGTTGCATAAATGAAAAATTAAATAGCATTTCATTGAGGTTCTATGTTAAAGGCGCATGCTTGCATGTTTTTGTGGAAACTCTAAAATAAGTCGGTCCACAAATTTAGTCAAAGTAAAGTTATATGGAATATAAGTTTGTATCATGAGTATGTTCTTGCATATCTCTGTTGCTTGAAGTTAAGATGTAAATTGCTTGTACTCACATTTTGGCAGTTGTCTCGGGTGGCGAACATGTTGATGCAATAATTGGAGCTGCTGTTGCTGATGGAAAAGTGACTCCAAAGGTTCAAGCATTGATCAAAGTACTTCTGAAGTATCAACATACTGAGGATTTTCGTGCTATTATATTTGTTGAACGTGTTGTAGGTGCACTGGTTCTTCCCAAGGTCAGTAAGCACAAGATACACATTTGATGGGTTTTGCTAGCTATATCTTTCACATGATTAATGGCTTTATTCTGTACATAACAGGTGTTTTCAGAGCTTCCATCTTTAGGGTTTGTTAAATCAGCAAGTTTGATTGGGCACAACAATAGTCAAGAAATGAGAACTAGCCAAATGCAAGATACAATTGCCCGGTTCCGGGATGGTCGGGTATGTCATATTATTATTTGAACCATTATTTTTGCTTGAAGAAGCACTTTAAAATGTCTCATGTTTTGAGATTACAAAACCTGTTCTGCAGGTGACTGTTTTAGTTGCCACTAGTGTGGCTGAGGAGGGACTTGATATTCGACAATGCAATGTTGTCATTCGCTTTGATCTTGCAAAAACTGTTTTGGCATACATTCAGTCCAGAGGTCGAGCTAGAAAACCTGGATCAGATTATATCTTGATGGTTGAAAGGTAACTACAGTTGGTTTGTGTTTTAATATACTAGTTACAAAAAGATGATTTAGATGGCTTACCTTATTATTTCATGTTTTTTTTCAGAGGAAATTTGTCCCACTTAGCATTTTTAAAGAATGCACGAAATAGTGAAGAGACTTTGCGGAAAGAAGCTGTAGAGAGGACTGATATTAGTCACCTGAAGGATACCTGCAATGTAAACTCTGGTGAGCCAGTAGCTGGTACCATGTATCAGGTGGAGTCTACTGGTGCTGTTGTGAGTTTAAATTCGGCAGTTGGGCTCATCCACTTTTACTGCTCCCAGCTGCCAAGCGATAGGTTTATCTCATTTTCCTAATCATGCAATCCCTACCTATTGTTATTATCTCATTGTCCTTTCTTTTTAACCTGCATATTTTCCACCATTTGATTCGTGTGAAGGTATTCGATTCTTCATCCTGAGTTTATCATGGAGCGCCATGAGAAACTTGGAAGTGCTACTGAATATTCTTGCAAGCTTCAACTTCCGTGTAATGCACCATTTGAAAAACTGGAGGGACCTCCATGCAGATCAATGCGGCTTGCACAACAGGCATGCCTTTAGTTTCAGTGTGGAGTTTATACCTTTATATATCTATTTATTGTGTCATATAAAAAAACAAGCGTATTGGAACAATCTATTAGATGACTTGTTATTTTCAGGCTGTTTGTTTGGCTGCTTGCAAGAAACTTCATGAAATGGGAGCATTTACTGATATGCTACTACCAGACAAGGGGACTGGAGGTGAGTCTGATAAAGTTGAAGAAAATGATGATGGGGATCCTCTCCCTGGAACTGCAAGGCATAGAGAATTTTATCCTGAAGGAGTAGCTCAAATTCTTCAGGTTAGCAACTCAAATCATTAGAAGTGTTAACTGCCCTATTTGTTAGACAAGTCATTGATTTGGCTTCAGGATTTTAGAGTTGAAAATCAATAGTTAAGGTTTTCTCATTACTCACTATGGTTTTGGATCCAAATGTGAAGATTAGTTACAGTATGTAAAAGCTTTAGAGCATTATGAAACAGGTGATTTTTGAAGTAATGATTGACCATATACAGTGCACTAAACAAAATTGCTAACTATTGAGAAATATTATAGAATATCCTAGTCGAAAGATTTTTAATCTATAAACTTTTAAACAGGATATTCTGTTATATTTCTCTTCAAGATCATATTTCCTGAATCAGGGTAAAGATATTCTATAAGATTATTGAAAGAATAGTCATGTAATTCAATTATTTACACTTACAGCTGTCAATTATTTCAATATCTGGTTTCCTGGAGGCCTTGTTCAAAAATTACACAACTTCCAATGGATCTTTAGAAAGTAGGGATTAGCTACAGGTTTTACAGAATAATACACACTAAGGTTGAATCTTCCTTTGTTGGACATCAATACCAGTTGGGGTTTCCATTATTTAGCTGCCATGTTATGTTCAACTATCTGGCACAACTAAAACCTGTGTATACTTGGGCTAAGTTACTGTGAGAATCTACACTGTTGGATCATAGGAGTGTGTGCATACTTCTTTGTCTGCAGGGAGACTGGATATTATCAGGGCAAGGCTGTGATGACTCCAAATTGTTTCATCTTTACATGTATTCTGTCAAATGTGAAAATGTTGGCTTCTCCAGAGATCCTCTCTTAGCTCAAGTTTCGAAGTTTGCAATATTATTTGGCAATGAATTGGATGCAGAGGTATCGTGTTTTCTTTTTAAGCTCTAATTAATTCTAGTGTAAGGTTCGTATTGATTCTTGTTTTTTACTAGGTATCATCAATGTCAATCGATTTATTCGTAGCTCGATCGATGATTACAAAGGCATCACTGGTCTTTAGAGGGCCTATAGAAATTAGAGAGACTCAGGTACATTGATTTTTCCGTAGTTTTTGACAATAGAATGAGCTCGTGTGGACAATACTGATCATATTTTATCTACAGTTGTCACTGCTTAAAAGCTTCCATGTACGCATGATGAGCATTGTATTGGATGTGGATGTTGAACCATCCAACACTCCTTGGGACACTGCAAAGGCTTATTTATTTGTTCCTTTCACCGGAGGTGCATCGGCAGATCCACTGAATGATATTGACTGGGCTCTCGCTGAAAATGTTACAAAGACAGACTCATGGAGCAACCCCCTTCAGAGAGCCAGGCCAGATGTTTACCTTGGCACCAACGAGCGGACACTAGGCGGAGACCGCAGAGAATATGGATTTGGAAAACTAAGACATGGTATGGCCTTTGAGCAGAAATGCCACCCTACATATGGGATTCGAGGAGCTGTTGCCCAGTTCGATGTGATAAAAGCTTCTGGGTTAGCACCAAAACGAGATGGTAATGAAGTGGCCTGTCAAGTTGATCTAACAAAAGGCAAATTAATGATGGCTGATTCCATAATTGAAGCAGCAGATTTGGTAGGAAAAATTATCACTGCAGCTCATTCTGGAAAGAGGTTCTATGTAGATTCAGTGCGATTTGATATGACTGCTGAGAACTCATTCCCCAGGAAAGAAGGCTACCTTGGTCCTCTGGAGTACAGTTCATATGCTGATTATTACAAGCAGAAGTATGTTTTCTTTATTCTTTTTTGTTTTGGGACTGAATTTAATTTGCACCTGCTAACCATTATATCATACATCTTCTATATGAAGATGCAACTGTGTTAGGCACCTCTTTTTGCTTGTCCCTCTCTTGTCTTTTTTATCGAAAGCTGAAATTATTAACCTGAGACTGAAACAGCACTTTCGTTTCAAAATGTTAAAGATGCATCAATCACTTCATTTCTAGTTATAATCTTATTGAAAGGAAGCTTCTATATAACTCTGGGGACCAGCTGTTCTTACAAAACTGTCAGATGGTTTCTTGTAATTATTGATGGGTTTAGTAACCGTGGAGTGTTTGCACATGGAGTTTAGAGTGCTGCTCTTGGTTGCTAAATTGTTATTTAATGTTAAGTGAAAACATACTCCTACATATGTTGCATTTGACATCTCAGATCAATTACAGGTATGGGGTAGAGCTGATGTATAAACAACAACCTTTAATAAGAGCTCGTGGTGTTTCATATTGCAAGAATCTTCTGTCTCCAAGATTTGAACATTCAGGAAGTGGTATGTTCTTTATATGCAGTTCTCTTAACTAGTTTGGCCGGATCACCTTCTTTTGATATGTAATTACTTTTGAAAAAACTTTAATTTATAGGCCATGATGGTGAATCTGATGAGGTGCTTGAGAAAATCTATTATGTTTTTCTCCCTCCGGAACTTTGTTTCGTGCATCCACTGCCTGGATCTCTGGTCAGAGGTGCCCAAAGATTGCCATCAATTATGAGAAGGATTGAAAGCATGCTGCTTGCTGTGCAACTTAGGGATATTATCAACTACCCTGTTCCTGCTTCAAAGGTTTTTCAATGCCCTGTAGAGTGATTTTTAACATTTATTATTTTACTTATACCTGCTGATGCTAAGATTTCTATCTGCAGATCTTGGAATCCTTAACAGCAGCATCATGCCAGGAGACTTTTTGTTATGAAAGAGCAGAGCTCTTAGGTGACGCATATCTGAAATGGGTTGTGAGTAGGTTTCTTTTTCTGAAGTATCCGCAGAAACATGAAGGCCAGCTTACTAGAATGAGGCAACAAATGGTAAGCAATGTTGTTCTGTATCAGTATTCCTTGAACAAGTGCCTCCAATCGTACATCCAGGCAGATCGATTTGCTCCATCTAGATGGGCTGCACCTGGGGTGCTTCCTGTCTTCGACGAAGACATCAAAGAAGACAGGTCGTTCTTTGACGAGGAGATGGGTGCTGATGAGAGTTCAAGGAGGAGGATTCGTGGTGATGATGAATATGAAGAAGACGATATGGAAGATGGTGAATTAGAAAGTGACTCGGGTTCTTACCGTGTGTTATCTGGCAAAACACTGGCTGATGTTGTGGAAGCATTGATTGGTGTATATTATGTCGAAGGTGGAAAGAATGCTGCAAACCACCTCATGAAATGGATCGGGATTGACATAGATTTTGATTTGAAAGAGATTAACTATTCTATCAAACCCACTACTGTTCCGGACAACATACTGAGAACTGTTGATTTCAATGCATTGGAAGGTTCCTTGAAGGTGGAGTTCAAGGATCGGGGCTTGCTTGTGGAAGCTATAACTCATGCGTCGCGGCCATCATCTGGGGTGTCTTGTTATCAACGACTAGAATTTGTGGGTGATGCAGTGCTGGATCATCTCATCACACGACACCTGTTTTTCACGTATACAGATTTGCCTCCAGGACGCTTGACTGACTTACGAGCCGCTGCTGTGAATAATGAGAACTTTGCACGCGTAGCCGTTAAACATAACCTTCATACACACCTCCGTCATGGATCAAGTGCTCTTGAGAAACAGGTACTTGGGCCATTTTCTTACCTAGATTTTGGACTCCTTTTGGTATCTTCTCACTAAATTACATTCATTTTCAGATTCGGGATTTTGTGAAAGAGGTTCAGAATGAGCTTTCCAAACCTGGATTTAACTCATTTGGGTTGGGCGATTGCAAAGCCCCTAAAGTTCTTGGTGATATTGTGGAATCCATTGCTGGGGCCATCTTCCTCGATAGTGGCTGTAATACGGCAGTTGTTTGGCAGGTAAATAAGGGTGTGTTTGTTTGTGGATTTGGATTTTTTAATAGTAAATAATTGAGTTTGAATAGTTTTTTTGTGCACTATAAATAGTTATTGATGTGATATTTTGAATGTTAAATAGATTTGTAGTATAATATGAAAAAAAAAAAAGTAATTGTTTGATTTGATATTTTTTTAGAAAAAAATGAATTAAATAGTAAAAAATTCGTGTAGAAACCCACAAAATACACAACCTAAATGTCTCACATTTTTCCCTGTTGTTTGGTAATTTGTCCAACCAGTGATAGACTTCGATGTAATGTTGGAATTTCTATTGCTTACAGGTCTTTCAGCCATTGCTGAACCCTATGGTTACACCCGAAACACTCCCAATGCATCCTGTTCGTGAATTACAAGAACGTTGCCAACAGCAAGCAGAAGGTCTCGAATATAAAGCCACCCGTAACGGGAACTTGGCCACTGTGGAAGTTTACGTCAATGGTGTTCAGGTTGGAGTAGCCCATAATCCCCAGAAGAAAATGGCACAAAAGTTGGCCGCTCGAAATGCTCTTGCTGCTTTGAAAGAGAAAGAGATGGCTGAAGCCAAAGCAAATTGCGACGAAAATGGGAAAGAGAAAAATGGGAGCCAAACGTTTACCAGGCAAACGTTGAATGACATCTGTTTACGTAGGAATTGGCCAATGCCTTTGTATAGGTACATTTTTTATTTTGACCTGTACGAAACAATCATATCATGTTTGAAGATGAGATATGTTCGATGTATTTATCATTCATTCATCATTCTCGTAGTGAATTTCAAAATTTTGAATTCAGGTGCGTTCATGAGGGTGGCCCCGCCCACGCCAAAAGATTCACATTTGCTGTTCGGGTCAACACTTCGGATCGAGGCTGGACAGACGAATGCATTGGCGATCCAATGCCTAGCGTCAAGAAAGCAAAAGACTCTGCTGCAGTCCTCCTCTTGGAACTTCTGAATAAATGGTATGCATGATACCTTTTTTTTTTTTTTTTTTTTTTTTTTCTGTTTATACAGATGCCAAGATAATTTCATATTCGTAATTGCTCGTTGAGGATTTCTTGGCTATTTCACTTCCTCGGCAACTTAGTTGCAAGTATACGACAGGACCGTCCGATCCGTCCTACTATTGATTATCTGTGTCCTAATGAGTTTGTGTTACAATTTTTTTGGAATTTACTCTGCTGTTTCTTATTTTCTCCTATGATTATGATAACCCACCGGCTAGGTGTTGATATGCTGAGAAATTTGATGAGAAAAGACCAAGTGAATTTGTATTTGATAGAGATGACAGTTTGAAACAGATGAATGAGAAGAACTTGAAAACCATTTTGTGTCTATTCATTTCTTTTAAATGCAAGCAAGTATATTGCTGCTGCTTCGTTTGTTAGTTCTTGTATCTTGTAATTTAATTTAATAGTTTAGTTTATCCACGATTTTTCAGGAAGAAGAGATGAGATGTAGGTTAGTATAATGAATATGAACGCGTCCATACTTAGATAAAACGTCTACACAGGCTCCGCCTGCCCTCGCGCAGAATTCCAAATTTTTGCCCTATCAATTATCGACGGTGGCCGCCCAATCTAGGCTATTGTCGGCCACAGGTGCCCAGTGGCCGAGCATTGGGCATACGCTGCTTGGAAGCGTGGACGCTCATCCCCCGGATGCGGAAAGCCCGTGAGGACAGGGTACCCCGGCGCCTATGTGCCCCGATTTCATTCGCAGCGGCGTTTCCGATGCTGCCTGCATACGAGCTATGTCCGCCGCCACATCGGTTCCCGCCAAACCACAAAATTTTAAAAATTAAGGATAAATTGCCTACGTCCCCCAAAGCACAAAATTTTAAAAATTAAGGATAAATTGGTTTTTCAGTTCGTAATTGGTATTTTTTGTTATTTTAGTTTAGTAATCTTTATTATTTTAGTTCGGTAAGTTCGAAATAGTTTCGTAAGTGAAAAAAAATTTGCATCGACGTCGGAGATGTTTACGTGGCACCCGCATGATATAACGGATGACATGTGTTTGCCAAAGCGCCACACGGCAGGATATGTGAATTTTATTATGTTTTATTTTCTCAAAATATTAAACTCAGCCAATCCAATAATTTCATAATTCTAAGAGTGTGTTTGGCTGGATTGGAGGTCTTTGATTTGATATTTTCTGGAAAAAGAAAAATTTGATGAATAGTAATTTTTGGAGAAATTTTTCCAAACAAACACACCCTAAATATTTTATACAAATGAAATCGAAATTCTTCTGCAGTTCCGACCGAATGATGGCATTTTAATATATATATATATATATTATAATATTACGAATATTATGTTGTACAATTGTTTACAGTCATTTTATATATATATATATATTAGAATAAATATTATTTATTCAAATATTTACAATTTAAAACTATAATAAATCTACTCAAGAAATCAAACATCCGTTAATATTCTCTTTAAATATTTAAAAATTGTATAATATAATACTCTCCCTTAAAAAATTGTACTTCCTCCGTCCAACATATTTTGTCAACTTTTTTCTTTTCATCCTTCATATAATTAGTCTTTTTTAAAAAAATATGTAATTATACACTTTAATCACATTTTAAATTATACACTTTAGTTGTATTTTAAAATTCATAGTTTATAATTTTTTTATTTTAAATAAACTATCTATAATTATTTTTATTAAATATAATTATTTTTACTAATACATTTTTTAGTTACTTACTCATTACACAATACTTAATACTTCGTGCTCCAACTAAAATTTACAAATTAACTGAGACGGTTAATAACAACATTTTTTACAGTATGTACAACATATTAGTATAATATTTCATGCAATATATTATATAACCGTTCATATAATTTATTTGTATATATAATTGCGATTAAAAATGAGAGTTTGCAATCTAAATACAAGTACAGAAGAGGTCGAAAAATAATCTCGAATACATACCTGACTCTAATAACATCATACAGTACTCGGAGGACATCGTTGCTCTATCGTATGTTACAATAATGAGAAAAAAACAAAACACATAGGGGATATGCCATAAAATTTAATTGTAATTTTATAGTTCAACATTTTTTTTTTTATTTTATACCATATCTAAATATTAAGATTTAAAAAATTTTAATATGTACAATAAAATACACATCGTATACAGCAATATAAGCCATCTTATATTTATCTGTTTACATCATTTTTGTCAAATAAAGACATCTTTTAATATATATTTTTTGAAACATGATTTTTATACACTCATTTCGTACACCTAAAAAAGTAATGGTTATTGACTATTTATTCTTCCTTTCTTTAAAATACAAAACAAACAATCAGGATTAACATCTCAAATGCTAAAAATTATAAAATGCAAAATTATCCATAACTCCCATGGAATTTCAAAATTTAGAATTATATGACACTTCCTTATATTTTAAAAACATTGTATAGAACCTACCGTTATGAAAAAATATATATAAATTTGCTCATCAAACAAAAAAATATTCCATCCGTCCCAAAACTATAGTCTGAATTGTGTTTGGCACGAAATATAATGAATGTTATATTATATAGGTAGTGGATAAAAAATACGGATAAATTTTCTTTTTTGTCCTTATAAATATATTAGTGTAAAATATTTTTAAATCTTTTTAAAATATTTTTTTATTAAAAAAGTAAAAATAAAATAGTACAAAATCCAAAAAGAATATGAAATAAATGTCATGCAAGAAATATGGTCAAGAGAAGAATGAAGGGTGCCAAGATAGTGGGACTTCTACTCATTCTTGCAACCCACTTAATATTAACCTACCCATCAAATTTAATACCTATAAATAAAAACACTATGCACTAATTGAATAATGTAATGTCAATAATGCTGTCTTCTCTCCAAGTATTGATCTTAAGCTATGCCTCGTGTGTAGTTGTTTCCTATTATATCATTCTCAAACTTATAGGTTCCTGGATTTCTTCTTCTAACCAAAATAATAATAATAAAATTTTACTACAACTCCCTCCGGGCCCGCCCAAGTGGCCCATCTTCGGAAACCTTCTCCAATTGGGCCCACTCCCACATAGAGATTTTGCGGCATTATCAGAGAAATACGGGCCTATAGTTTACCTCCAACTGGGCCGGGTCCACGCAATCACAACCAACGATCCAGATGCAATCCGCGAGATCCTACGGCAGCAAGACGACGTCTTCGCATCGCGGCCGCGAACCCTCGCCGCCGAGCGGCTCGCGTACGGCTGCGGCGACGTGGCGCTGGCGCCGCTCGGCCCAAAGTGGAAGCGGCTCCGGCGGATCTGTATGGAGCATTTGCTGACGACGAAGCGGCTGGAGTCGTTCACGCGCCACCGTGCGGAGGAGGCGGATCACCTCGTCAAGGACGTCGCGGCGCGGAGCGGGGAAGCCATTAATTTGAGAGAGGTTCTCGGAGCATTCTCCATGAATAACGTGACGAGAATGCTGCTCGGGAAACAGTATTTCGGGGCGGAGGCGGCGGGGCCGCAGGAAGCCATGGAATTTATGCATATTACGCACGAATTGTTCTGGCTGCTAGGGCTTATTTACGTCGGCGATTATTTGCCAGTTTGGCGATGGATCGATCCGTTCGGGTGCGAGAAGAGGATGAAGGAAGTCGAGAAAAGAGTGGACGATTTCCATACCAAAATAATCGAAGAACACCGAAGAAGAAGGAATCAAAATCAAAACCGAAATCGTACCTGTAATGGCGAATCGGACGAGACTGAAACGGATTTCGTCGACGTGCTGCTGTCATTGCCCGGAGAAGATGGAAAGGCTCACATGGAGGACGTGGAAATCAAAGCCCTAATCCAGGACATGATCGCGGCGGCGACGGACACTTCGGCGGTGACGAACGAGTGGGCGATGGCGGAGGTTATAAAAAACTCTAACGTCCTGCGGAAGGTTCAAGAAGAATTGGATTCGGTGGTCGGCCCGACCCGGATGGTTAGCGAATCGGATCTGGTCCACCTGAACTACCTCCGGTGCGTGGTCCGGGAGACTTTCCGGATGCATCCGGCCGGGCCGTTTCTGATCCCGCACGAGTCGGTCCGGGCCACCACGATCAACGGCTATTATATTCCGGCGGGGACACGTGTCTTCATCAACACGCACGCGCTGGGCAGGAATACCAAGATTTGGGATGACGTGGACGAGTTTAAGCCGGAGAGGCATTTGGTCGGCGCGGGCGGGCGAGTGGAGATTAGCCACGGCTCGGATTTTAAGATATTGCCCTTTAGCGCCGGGAAAAGGAAGTGCCCTGGCGCGCCGCTTGGGGTTACGCTGGTGCTTATGGCTCTGGCAAGGCTCTTCCACGGCTTCGACTGGGGCCCACCGCATGGAGAGGATATTGATACTAGAGAGGTGTATGGTATGACTATGCCAAAGGCCCAACCCCTATTTGCTGTAGCCACTCCAAGATTTCCACCCAACTTCTACAATTGATTACTTCATCTTTCATTTAAAAGTTTTTTTTTTTTTTTTTAACTGTTATAAAAATATATATGTTTTTTTTTAAGTAAAACATTATATCTATTTTTTAAAATTTTTATCATACAATATTAAAAAAGAAAAAAAGAAAAGTATATCTAGTATTTGGATTTGGCAAGAGGATACAATTGCAATCGGACAATGATAAACGAAGAGCGTGAGAGTATGTGTATGTATCGAATAAATGAACGTAGCATAGAGGAGTAGCGCGCATAACCCAGCACATATAATATTAGGGTTTAAATCATCAAAACACAAATAAAAAAGGTTTTTTTTTTTTTTTCTTTTGTTTCAATATTTTTTATTATATAATAATTATCATATTTTTTATAAAAATAAATTAATTTTTATAAAATATATATTTAAATCATTAATTAATTTATTTTTTTTAAAAAAGAACTCTAACGCATAAAATATAATGACAACCGATCTTGTAGGATCCCAATAAATGTTCCATTGAAATGAATTGCCATGCATGCAAAATTTAAAAAATACAACGTAAAAGGATTTGTTTGTGGATTTTTGTACCAAATTTTTGTTGTTTATGAAATTTTTTAAAAAGATATATTCCCTCTGTCGAATACAATAGGGACATTTGGGATGAGTAAGAGAATTAAGGAATAATAACATTATATTGATAATTGGTACAAAATGTTTCTAAAAGATCAAAATATCCTTACTTTATATAATTATTGTAAAAAAATGAGAATAATTTTGTAAAAGATAGAGGTTGGTTACTAAAAAATGAAATGAATATTGTTTTAAGATTGACGAAAATAACAAAATGAAACTATTATTTTTAGACGTAAGGAGTATATCATATCAATTATTTTTTTATATTATAAAAATTATTTTTTATAATCAAAATATCAAATTAATAATTATTTATATATTAAATAATTAATTTAATTAAAAATTTGTATATTTAAAAACTCAAACTCAACTCCAGAGTCCAATTCCAAAGTTTAGAATCCATACAAGGACACTTATTTGCACCAAACTCTTTAAATTTAATTATTTGGATTTTATATTTTTTGAAATAAAAAATATTTTTTCTTCTCGCAAAATATTCTATCAAATATTATTTTAATATTAAATTCGAACTAATTTTTTTTCAAATCAAATCTAAATAAACACAGGGTATGCATGTCATAACTACATGTATTAAGTCTCACTGGCAGCGATGAATGTCTTGATGGCGTCAGTTTGCCTCAAGCCAGCAAAAACTAAAACTGCTAAGGAGCGGCGCCAAATTACGTGAGCCCTAAACCGATCCTTCAGAAGCACCTCAGGACATACTTTCATAATTTTGATCAATAGCGCCATGGGTAAGCTTTAGAACATGCTCGTAACATGAAAAGCCAACACACCTGCAAATCACCATTGTAAGAGGAAGAATTTCAGAAGTTCTTTGAAACACTTTCAGATTTTGATTAAGTGGTAATTGGTAAGTTCCAGATCTTGAATTGGTATAGTAGTTGATGTGATTTAAATAGGTGTTGACGTGATATTTTGAATGTAAAATTGACTTTTAGTATAATATAAAAAATAAAAAATAATTATTTGATTTGATATTTTTTAGAGGAAAATTTTTCATGAATAGTGGATTTTTTAAGGTAAATTATATATCTCTCACATGTGTTTTAGTTTTTTAGCATAAAATCCCTTATGATAAAAATATTAGTTTGAATCATTTTATGTTAAAAAGTAAGGGCACATGCCCCCTACCTAACAAAAAAATATAACGTTGTTTATAATAAATGTGGTTGGACCGTTATACCCCTAGGTTTAACTAAATAATTTTTTTTCTTAAATTTACTATGATTCGTTCTTTCATTCCTCTCTAAACCCTCTCTCCCAATTTCTCTCGAGCTAATATTCATCCGCCATCCGCCACCGCCATCTGCTGGAGAAATTTCACCCCATTTGAGTTGGCGTTTCTTAATCTCCCCAATTTTTCTCGTTCGGCACCTGATTTGTAGCTCGCAGGTAAGAATCACCAGCATGAGTTTTTTTTTTTTTTATGTGAAACTTTATAGAAATTATGGATTTGTGGTTCGATTTTGAGTAGAGTTTAAGTTCTTTAACGCTGTTGTTATGATTTTCTTAGTCTTTGGTATTGCAATTTGTGGTTCCATTTTGGTCTTTGTTGCGATTTTCTTAGTATTTGGTGTTGCGATTTGTGGTTCGATTTTGAGTAAGATTTGAGTTTTTTAGCCATTGATTTGTAGTGACAAATTTGAGGATTTTTCTGCATTGTTTGCAGTATTTGATTTGGTCTTGGATGCCCCTTGGATTATTGATATTTTGGAACTTCTTTGCATTTTTTGCGTTAGTTGGAAGGTGTTTGTAGGAACCATGAAACTTATTTGTCGAATTCGTTCAAATGTTCTAAATTGAAAAAAAAAATTATTTATTTTATACATGCATGGGAAACAATGTTAATGCGATGAATAGGAAGACGAACATGAGAATGACGATATAACAATGGGTGATGGGGTGCTAGAGCGCGTCAATCAAGAAGATCCTATTAGTGATTTAATGGGACATGGATGGGTCAGTGTTAGAGAGGATGGGATTACGGAGAGAATGAATACAACACCCAAGCAGAATTTAGGGGCATAAAGTTGTGATGATGAATGCTCAGAACCTTCTGACTTTAATGACAGTGACTTGGAGAAGGTTGCCGAGGAGGAGGATGCCGACGAGTCAGACAATCCCTCTTTTATGTACGATGAATTTGATGGTCCGGATGATGATGATGACATCTTCACAGAGCATGCACAAGAACCACAGGATAAGCGAACCAAAATTAAAATGTTGTTGAGGAGTGTGCATTCTTTTAGGAGATAAAGGAGAAAACGTAATCGAGAAGAAAAACATCACAAGAAATCAAACGTGGAAATATAGGGGAAAAAATGGTACAATGATGCAAGCTTAGATTGCGATCTTGAAGGAGGAAGAATGTCAGACGAGAAAAATACATTGTCTAAGTATGGTGAGTGAGACAAATCTATGGAGATGAGAAGTAATGATCTTTCCATAGATATGAAGTTCCCATCGCGGGGAAAGTTTAAGGAGATTCTGAAGGATTGGGCGGTTTGTAAAGGTTGGACTTGAGATACCCGAAGATGAAAAAACATGTGGTTACCGCTGTTTGCAAAAAGAGTTGTGATTGTTCTTTAAGGGCATTATCTGTAATCCGAGGTCAAATATTTCATATAAAGAAATTGAAAGGAAAACACACGTGCGCACATATGACAACGAACTCCTGGGCAGATTTTAGGTACTTTTATCTATTTTATATTGCATTATAATTTCCCTTTGTCTATATCTTATGTGATCTTGTTTTTCATCATCTTACATCTTTAAATTTAACTATTTTTTATTCAAGAAATGCTTCAATAGTAGTCTTTGTATTGGAGTAAATCATATGTGCTATTTAAATAATGTGATATATATTGTTGATCTTAGCTTGGACTTTTAAATTTGTTCAATAATGCTGGAAAAATATTGTGCTCTTTAAATTTAGAATTGAATATATTTAGGTATGTTTCAACAGACAACCTATGTAACATATTTAGTCTCTGCTGTTTTTTTTTTTTTTTTTTTCAATTTGAAAACATAATAGATTTTTCGGCAATACTTATCTCCTTGTTACATTAACTATTGATTATTATCTTACGATAATATTGCTAATCATGCTGCTATTTTTTCATAGGTACTTGAGGAAAATGATTTTAAAGTATATAAGAAATAACCCCGCGGAGACCATTGAATCTTTAACACGCAAGATCAGGTGAGATGTGGATGTAGAGTCAGTAAGATTGTACGACTACTGGCACACTATTGTGAAGCACAATCCATCAAGCTTATGATTTAACAACACCGGTACTGCAGAGGATGTATTTTTGTTTGAAATCGTTGAATGATGGATTCCGTAAAGGATGTAGGCCACTAGTTGGATTAGATGGTTGCTTCCTCAAATGAATGTATAAGGGACAACTTTTGTCAGCGGTTGGAATGGATGGTAATGACAATATTTACCCGATAGCAATGACATACATAGAGATTGAGAGGTTTGGCAACTGGGATTGGTTTTTAAATTTGTTGTTGAGAGATTTGGGTGAACCTTGAATGGGGGCTTGGGCCTTTATAGGTGATCGACAAAAAGAATTAGTTGAGGCTGTTGGAAAGCATTCCCCGAACACTGAGCATCGAGTCTATGCCACATGTATAATAACTTCAAGAGTAAGTACAAATGTATGGAGTTAAAAATGTTGTTTTGTAAAGCAGCTTCAACTTATAATGCAAACGAGCATAAACTTGCGATGAAAGAGATTTTAAAGGTTGATTCGAAGGTTGGTGATTCAAAGTGTGCGTTTGAATGGTTGGCGGAGATTTCAGAACATCAATGGGCTTGAGCGTATTTGGCTATATTTCTTATTGTGTTATAATATTACATGTATTTCTTAATATTCATTTATAAATACAGCGCAACAAAACTCGAAGAAAGGGAAATTTGCCTATTGAGCAGCAAAATAGGTACTCCACTTGTTTACATTATAATTATATATGTCAAATGACATGCTTCTAAAATTATAAATTGTGCAGAACAGCAACATGACCAAACTTCGAGCGCAAATAATCTTGAAAGCGAAACGAATATAAAATCGCAAGATCAGACCAATACTACTTCAGTTCCAGCCGCTGCCCAGGTATTTTATTATTTTTATTCAATAGTAGTGAACTAAAATATATCAATAAATAAAGGAAACATGATGATTGCATCTTCTCTAGCATGCTCATTTCAAACCACCATTGAAGCGAAAAAAAAAATGCAATAAAAAAATAAAGGTACAACTTTTGAACAACGGAAGAGCGGCTTGACACGAATTGGTGGGACCTCATCGAATGCAAGAGCATCCTCATTCACTACTCAGCTCCATAATGTAAGATTCTTATACAAACCGAGAACCACGACATGTTCGTCAAACCAAAATGGCAACATGGGTTCGGCGCAAAGTTGTTGAAAGACTTATCTTCTGAAATGATGTGTGATGGGTTGGGATTCAAGTTTGATGTAATTATGGTTTAATTTTTGGGGTCTGTAACTATGCGGTGTTTTGGTCCACTTTCTCATAGAGTCTATGATGTTTATGAAATCATTGTTTACTTTTTGGAGTATGCCTGCGCGTTGCCTTTTATGGGTTATTATGCCATCCTTTTTTGTCTAATGTTGGATTCTACCAATGAATTTCTTATGCTTATCTTACTTTTCAACTGGTTAGAATTTATTATGTGTTTTGTTTGCTAATTTTATGGATTTCAATTTTATTAAAGGAATGAATGTCATTGTTGCTACAAGTATTGCTTTCATTATTGTCATTCATTTTTGTTGTTAATGCACAAGAATAAACACCAGCACTTAGTAGGCATACAGGCAACTTGTAGCGGTTGGATATTATATTACTATGATAAGACTAATACATTATTCTTGTTTGTCTAATAATTAAAAAAACAAACCTTGGTAACCAGATTCATGTAGACATGGATTAAAAATTACTTATCAATCATCAAGGCAAGCAAATGCCTGGCAATGCAATTTGGCTAACTAGCCGACAAAAACATAGTCAACAAAACAAATTCATTACAAATGAATAGACTAGAAAAATACATAACTTCATTTTTAACATAGCCAAAATGTTCATAAAATCAACCAACTAAGGTCATCGAAAACTTCGATAACTCTACCATAACAAACAACATACAACTTCTAATACAACATATAACATACGACTACATACCTTTCATTACTTCAAACAACTAATACGAAATAAAACGTACGGCCACATGTCCTAGGATAATGTAACAACTTGATCATATCATCCGCATTACAGTTCAACTTAATCAATACAACACATCCAATTATTACAATAGCAATTAGGATAGACATCTATCTTTTTTCAAAGCGACGCAACTTATTATTCGATTCTTCACATAGTTTGATCAACCGTGCAATATCTTCAACTTCAGGTACTTCCAAATTGAGGATATTCATCCTCGAAACCACTTCAAATTTATCAAACTCATCGACTTTGTGCGAGCTTCCTTAATTCCTTAATGGTGGATTCAAAAGTTTCAATCGACAAAAAAAATTACATCTTCCGAGTTTACAGTTACAAAACAATTTACCTTTAGTATCTTTTGTAGACCCAACGACTTTTATAGAAGCATATCATCCGCATCGACAAAACGGATTCTTATATCTCAAATCCAATTTCCCATTGGTGCTTCTATGCTTCACCTTTGATGAACTACTAGACATAGCTACTTTAATCGAAGTCTGCGGCAGTTATGAAAATCATTTAGCAAATCACAAGTGAAAACAGATCATTTACTACTTTTATCTAAGGCAACCACATTACTGCTTCGATAAACTTTTCTTAAAATGCAAATTAGAAAATACAAAATTATTCATAAAAAGAATTACTGCAATGTGTTTCCAAAATCCACAAAACCTTACATCTTCATAATCAAATACAAATCAATAACACAAGAAGCAATTGGAACTCTAATACCGAATTAACTAATTTCAAGCAAATTTAACATGAAAATCATACGAAATCCACCAATATTTGCATTCCCACATAAAAATTCTCAAATCGATTTCCTCAACTCGACGCAATCACAAAACTTAAATCACAAACAAAAACTTAGATTCAACTAGTACTTGAAGTTTGGATTTAAAAATGAAAAGTTTCCTCTTACTTTGTATTGTCCTCCGTCGCCGATTTTGGAGGAGTCGTCCGTCGTCGCTGGTCAGTCGAGATGAAGCACAACCCTAATCTCGGTCTCAACCTCAGATATTTTAAGAGTACAAAGCGAGGGCATATTAGTCATTTCATGAAGCACACATCTAAATTTATCGACTTATACTCGCCACTACAAAAAAGTTAAAATTTAGCTACAAAAAAAATTCATAGCAAAATATAAGAATTCATAGCAAAAAGGTTTTCGCAACGAAAGTTATTTTGTCACCTATACCGCGTTAGTAAAGATTTTTTATGACAAATATGACCTTCGTAGCAAAAAGTAAGTTTTTTTGCAATGAAACTTAAAAAAAGAGATATAGCTACGAAAATATGATTTTGTAGCTAAAGCTCTTTTGCGATAAAATTAAAATTCATAAAAAAAGAGTTTTAGCAACAAAATATATATAATTTTTTTAACCAAATGGTTTTAGCTATGAAAAATAATTTTGTAGCTAAAATATTTTGCTATGAAATTAGAATTTTCTAGCAAAAATATTTTAGCGACGAAATTAATTTTATAATATATAATTTATTTTTAGCGATGAAATTTATTTTAGAGATGAAATTTATTTTTATTGTTAAATAACACATTTTAACTACAAAAATATTTTGTAGTTAAAAACATTGTAACTAATTAGATAATTTTTTGTAGTGCGCATACAGAATGCGTGATTTCTAATAGCCGTTAGTTAACAAAAATTGAGAGTTTTGCACTAAATTATAAAAAGCACAGATATGTTTGATGTAATTTTAAAAATATAAAGAATTTCTCTCTTTTAAAGTAAAATACAGGAATGAATAATGGACTTTAACCGGATGTTTTTTGAAAAATTCCATAAACAAATACACCCTATAATAAATCTAATAGCATATCTCTTATTTAAAAATATATATATATATTTACAAATTGTGTAAAGTGTACGTTGATTTGTTTAATTAATAGCATAATATAAATAAAAATATATAATATTTTTACCAAATATTATGCTTATAAAATTAATGCAATTAATATTTTTTTTATTAAGATATTAAAACTTTTTTTTAATAATATATCTTTTCTATAATCAAAATTTATAAAGTATGCCTAATAAACTAAAATGTATCATTATAATATATATGATATACATATATATATATATACACTAGCTAGCCCGAGTTCGTGCCCTTAATGTTTTAGATGATACGATTTTTTATAAATATTATATATAATATATATTAATTTTTTTTATTTATCTATAAAAATTAATTGTTCAATACAAATTATTATATTTTATATTATTAATATAATTTTTTATATTTAATATATAAAAAATTATATTTATACAAAAACACAACCCATAATAATATTTTCATTTTTATTTTCCTAGTGTGTATATAAATGTTTGTGTGTGTCGTGTTATCTTGTTGCCCAAGACATCAACATGGGTTAGTTTATTATTTATTATTCATATGATAGTGTCTATATGGGGCCTGCAATGCAATTCACGAATCACGTGAGTGTCACGGGAAACAAAGGCCAAACTTGATACCGACCGACGTGGCATTCTAGAATCTTAGTAAATACTTGTGCCATAAAATTGTACACGTTGCATTATTTCCTAAATAAAATAAAACTCCTTATTTTTTACCTTAGATATTTTTCCCCACTTCTATTAAATAAAAATTAAAAAGATAAAAAAAAAAAAAAAAAATGAAAAATCACACTTAACAACGAATATAGTCGACATCCAACTATGATGCGTAGAGACCCACAAATTTAATTCAATGAAAAGACTAAGTTATATAAGTTTGTATGGCAATATTTAAAAAATACGTCTTTCATTATTGATTGAGTAGGATGGACCGGTAGAGCTGTTAAACGAATCGAGCCGTTTGTGAATTCGACTCGATTCAGCTCGGTTAAAACTCGTTCGTGAATGTTAACGAGTTGAGCCAAATAACATAAACAGGCTCGTTTGATTAATGAATGAGCCCGAGCTTTATTCACGAACGATTCGTTTAAATGATATATTTATTATAAATATTATATATACAAATAAAATTATAATTTATAAATAAATAAAATATTAATTTAAAATACATAAATAAAATCATTTTAAATTTTCTTTATAATTTATATATAAATTTTAAAAAATAAGACAAACGAGCTCAAACGAGCTTAATCGAGCCTAAACGAGCCGAACACGAACACGAGTTCAAACAACAAAAATTCTTAACGAGCTAAGCTCGAACACTACGAACGAGCTCGAAAGCTTAACGAACGAACACGAGCCTTGTTCGCGAACGTTAACGAATACTTAAAATTTTGCTCGACTCGGATCGTTAACAGCTTTAGGAGTGGACAACAAGTTTGGCTAAGCATTGAATTTTTTATGACATGTTATCATTTGTCAAATATTATGACACAATACTCATAGAAAATTACATATGAAAGTACGAAGTGAGTGTCGATTTAAATAAAACATGTATTAAGACAATAGTAGTTTTTAGGACCCAAAATGAAAATAAACATGAGAACAAATGAGATGTAGAGTGTTCTCGTTTCAATAATAGTGTCTAAGCATACGCTGTAGCGAAATAGTTCATAACGCAGTTTAGTACTAGTATGTCCGGCAATGTTAAAAATAAAAAAAAAAATTTAACACAAAAACTATTTTTGCCATATGCAATAACATATTTTAAAAATGGTCAGGTCCTGAATTCGGTAAATTGACTATTTTTATTCATGTAGATGATTGCTAGAATTCTTATTAAGAAAATTCAAAATTTTTGAAAGATTTCATAAAATAAAATAATTAATAAATATTTATTTATTTGATTTTTCTTAAAATCAAATTTTGGTGAATAAAAAATAAATGAGTTAAATGGTAAAATGCAATTATATATATATATATATATATTATACCATATTAGTATTAATATTGGACCGGAAGAGTGAGCTCATACGGTATGATAAAAATAAATTAAAAAATAATTAAAAAAAAAAACCATAAATTTCATCATATTTGTGATTTCTTAATTTATATTGTTATTTTAATTAAAAAAATCTTTATATATATATAATCTATTACTATTATTTTTTTTACTTCCTCTGGATAAATTGTTACATTACTGTTGATACGAGCATTTAGGTAATGTACAATTAGTAAATAATTAAGAAGTGTATTGTTAAAAATAATTATGATATAATGAAAATAATTATACATTAAGATTAAGTTAACTACATAATATAATTAAGATTAAGAAAATTATAATTTATGAAATTTAAAATGTATAATTATATATTTTTTAAAAAAATGACAAATTATATGAGACGGACGAAAGTAAAAAATATGAACAATGTATGAATTACTAATTATGATGAATTTCTTAATTATAATGATCTTATTTTGTTGAACTCCCAATTAAAAAAATTATTTCAATCGGTGGAATGAAAAAAATTATAAATAATTCTAATCTTAGACTTTTGAAAAATAATTCTCTCTTCAAATATGATTTTTTTTTTTTTACAATATTAAATATTTATCTTCTTATTTTTATTTTTATTTTTTTTATCAATTATCTTGTTCTCACCTTATTTGTCCGGAGTCTTTCGACAATAGTGCTCCTTCGCCGTTTTACTTTCGGGAGCATTTTTTCATTTTAATTTATATTAATTCATCATATTTTTTTTTTTACTGATTTTGGATGTGTTTGTTTGGGGGATTGAATTTTAATTCACTATTCATCTCATTTTTCATCTTCAAAAGTATCAAATCAAACATTTATTTTTCATTTTTTATATTATACTAAAAATTAATTTTATATTCAAAGCATCACATCATACAACTATTCAAATTCAAAATTTTTACTATTCAAATCTCAACTCAAAATACAAAACCCCAAACAAAAATAATATAATTCTATCTCGTATTGTTTAATAAATTAATTAATACTTTTATTTATTATTATTGTATTTCATTATCACACTCATCTATAATTTCCAATTTGTTTGGGGGATTTTCCCCAACTTTATTATTCATTTAATTTTTTTTTTCTCCAAAATATCAAATCATAACACCTAATTTTTTATTTTTTATATTATACTAAAAATCAATTTTACATTCAAAACATCGCATCAACACCTATTTATATCATATCATACAATTATTCACATTCAAAATTTTTACTATTCAAATCTCAATCCAAAATCCAATCCCCCAAACAATCACACCAAAATTTACAAAATAGTCTAAATGTTCTAGATTAATTGATCAAATAGTTTTAATGTTCTAAAATATTTTATTAAGATGTTTGAGTTTGAGAAAAATTGGTTATAATTTAATATTAAAATAATATTTGATATAATATTTCGTGAGGAAAAAATATATATATTTTTTAAACAAAATCCAAATAGTTTAATTTGGAGAAACTTGGCAAAATTACACACAATATTAACACTAGTATATTTATTATTATACATTTTTTATTTTATAATAAAAATAATTTTAGTAAATATTAGTTATTAAAGAGTAAACTGTTTTTTTAGTCCCGTAACTGGACCTCCTTATCATTTTAGTCCCGTAAGTGGAGCCTGTCGCAAACTAGTCTCATAAGTGAAAAATTTTCGCTGTTTTAGTCCTCCGGCGCCGGAGATGCCCGCGTGGCTCGCCAAAGGTGACGTGTCCGCCAGGTGTCCCGCCAGGTCAGCGACACCTGGCGGACACGTAGATTTATTTATTTTTTTCAATTTTTTTTTATTTTTTTTTAAATTAAATCAAATTAAAAAATAAAAAATATCTAAATAAAATTTAAAATAAATTAAAAATAAGTTTTAAAAAAATTTAATAAAATAAAAAATAAATAAAAAAATCCACGTATCCGTCAGGTCAGCGCCAGGTGTCGTTGATCTGGCGGACACGTCACCTCCGCGCGAGCCACGCAAGCGTCTCCGGCGCCGGAGGACTAAAACAGCGAAAATTTTTCACTTATGGGACTAGTTTGCGACAGACTCCACTTACGGGACTAAAATGATAAGGGAGTCCAGTTACGGGACTAAAAAGACAGTTTACCCGTTATTAAATTAAAGATTAATCTAACAGCTTAAACTAAATAAGTTGTATTGCATAACTCTTATTGATAATCATTTCTAATTTACAAATGGAACCACATAAGAGCTGACATATGTATTGTTTCAACTAAAATAAATGTTAAATGTGGATGCTATTGTTTTGTTCCTTTGATAAACTTAAAACTGTTATGTAAAATATAAAAATATTATTTTATTTTATTTTATTTTAATGATGTGAGAGTTCGCAACACACTACCATCAGTTAATTTTTACTAGACTATAAAAATACTATGTTGATAATATAATAAATAATATATTTATTATACTCTCACGTTCATTCAAATCTATATCCATTTTTTTTTCGGATTGTCATAAAAAAGAATATTTTCATTTTTTTTAAGTAAAAAATCATTCAATTTTTGTACTATTTTTACTATAAAATGAAAAATTAATAATTATTACTCACTTTTATTAAAACTCGTGTTCGGTCAAATAAGTATGCATTTGCATGATGGAGGAAATAGTATTTTTTAATAATTTTTTTGGGAGTTATGTTAATAAAAGAAAATAATTGAAAAAATAAACATGTGATTTATGTAAAAAATAAATATATAACCTTGATATATAAGTATATTTTTAATTTGATTTAATATTATTATATTCTATAAAAATATACAATCTTAAGGGTGTGTTTGTTTTGGAAAAATTTGGGTTTGGTTTTTTGTTTTTATTTGAATTTTGAAATGAGTTTGAATTTTAATTTTTTTTTGGATTTGGATTTGATTGGAGTTTGAAAATTTTTTATGTTTATTGATTCGATGGATATGAATATATTAATATAAATGTATATTTATTTGTATAATTTAATTATAAATTTATATTATATATATATATTTTTTAAAATTTTTATTTATTTGTATTATAAAAAAATTTATTCTCTACAAAATGACATATATATTGTATATATTTTATTAAATTATAATTACTATAATTTTTTTATATTTATTAAATTTATATTGTATTTTTTAATTTTTTCTTTTTTATTTTTGTAAATTTTAAGATTATTTTATACATTTTACTTTAAAAGATTTTTTAATATAGTTAAATTATGTTAATAATATTATTATAATAGTAAATTACGTATAATATTTATAATACTAAAGTTAATAGAAAAAAAAAACCATTAATTCGATTAAAATAACAAATACTACTGCATTAATTAATTACTCCATCATAAAAATAAAATAAAATAAAATAAAAAAGAAAAACAAAATGGCGGTGAGGTGCACGCTCCCCACTTTGGTTGGAAACTCAGAAATAGGTATGTTGACATAAAATAGAATGCCCAAAGCATAGCATAGCATATACACGCAGCAGCAGCCGCCGCCATCATCAACCCTTGCTCACCTCTCTGCATCTTCTTTCAATCAATTTGGTACCTTTTCTTTCTTTTTTGGTCTTATAAATACTTGTATTATCTTTCTCGGCTGCCGGAATTCCGCCATATTTACGGTATTTGTCTCGTTATTTTACTCATTTTCTTTTATTAACTTTGTTTTTTTCAAAAAATTAACCCCACAACCATTTTGAGATGCAAAGAGTTTATGAGTTCTAGTAGATGTTGGATTTGAGTTACACCGGGTGCTGTGGTGCTCGTATAGTGGTTATCGGTTTGTCATTGGATATTTGGTTAGATTCATGTTGTAATTGATTGTCGGTAAAATGACTTTGTTTTTGGGTGTGATCGTAGTTAGTTTTGATTTAGACTTGGGGCTTTTCGTTTACCATTTACCACAAAACTAACTCTCTTTTTATTTGAGGAACTTTTGATTGATTTGTTGGGATATTTTTTTATTTTTTATTTTTTTTGTGTTTAGACTAATAGTTGTTTTTGTGTTTGGATATGAATGAAAATATTGAAATTGAAGACATGTATAGCTTTCAATCGATGTCTCCACTCAGAATTCAAAATAATGGCAATGAACTTGATGTTCATGTACACCTAAAATTGTTTGTTTGTGTTGTTTTGGAAGTAGTAATAAGTTGAATTGAAAATAGTTGATTTATGTTTTAAATGAAATTTTGGTTTTGGGATTCGATGTATGTGATTCTTTATAGAAAAAAGCACACATTTGATCCCTTGTATGCTCAGAGTAATTTTTCAAGGTTTGCTTCGACAAAAGTACTCGAAATCATTTCTATTGATGAGATAATACTTGGGAAGCATACATTGACTAGTTGCTTAAATTTTGTCCCCAAAAATTGCTGAGAACTACTCTTTATCATTTGTTATACTTCTGTATTTCAAGAAAGCTAAACTACACAATGACTATAGCATATCTATGAATGTTATCGTTGCAGTATATGTATCAAAGGCAGGTAGAAATATGGCTGCTGTACGATGTTCCCTTTTCTATTTCCTTTTAGTCTTTAGCGTTGAAAGAATTTGTGTTTATATGTCGAAGAGTAGTCGTGGTTTATGCTTTAGTACATTCTCGCTTGTTGTCAGACTCACTTGGTGTTGCCAAAGATTTATTCATTTTCAGCCTTTGCTTTTGGCTATAGGTTATATATTCACTTAGTTTTTTGTCTATCGATTTTAGCTATTTGTGTGGGTAGATGGATTGCCCTTACGTCCCTTCGCCACAAATAAAAATTACCGTCTAGAAAGAGAGTTTTGGAGTTTTGAAAAATTTCGAGAATAGTAAAACTTTGATCAGATGTTTTTGAAAAAATTACTGTAAATGAATAGTATCAAAAGTTTCAAAAAGAATTTCTGCAAATATATTGGAAGTTAATAGTAACCTTCTATTTGGACTGCTCTTTCTACAGCAAATGTTGCGGTCAAAGCATCTCGGTACATTATCTCAGTCGGCCAGATCCTTTTTCTTAAACGGGTCGAGATGTGCAGCCGATGGAAGTTCGTGCACTTGCTCGGAAGACGAGACTTGTATTTCTAGAAGACCTCTCGGAGCAAATGTTCATAACTCTCGACCATCGGCGTCGTTGCTTCCGAAATCTTCAGTTGAAGTTAGTTCAGCTAATTTGATTCATACCGGGAAAGAAGTAGCTGTTCGGAGACCCGAAAACATTTCCATCGCCGATGGAACCTGCTCGTCGAGCAGAGCCGATCCTGTTCTTAGCAATGTGGATGAATCTGGTGCGAGTAAAATGAGCTGCTCGTCGTCGCCTCCCTTAGCTGACCAGTTTGTTAAGGCGGGCATTGCCGCAGTTGGGCTTCTATCAGATTTAGTAAATTATAAAATCCCGATGACTTCCGGGAGCGCGATGCTCAACCCGTACCCGAACTCGATGGTTGATGGCACGAAGTCAATTTCTAACATCAGATCGGTGAATGTCCGAGCCTCTAAAAAGGATAAGGTAGGCGTAGTACCGTCTGGCGAGCCGGTTTCGGGTTCAAATTCGAATTACTCGAGCGTCTCTTGTGCTACAAAAGGAAGACCTGTTAAATCGGTTCCTTCGACGCCAAAATCGTCAGGAAATGAACCGAACAAGGCACCCGGAAATTGTGTGGAAGCTCATGAAGTCGGCGGCGATCGAAAAAGGTCAGTCCCTCGTCGACCAAGATCTTACCAAAACCGGGCCGCGCCAAATCCATCGGAAGGGAGATTAAGCGTTAAAAACTCTGACGCCCGCTCGACAAGACCGACGGGAGTAATTCCTCGAGCAGCTCCGGTGGCTCGGCAATATTTGAGCGTGAGTTCGGTCGTCGAGCGCGTTTCTCGGATTCTCCATCAGTTCAATTGGGGCAGTGTTACCGAAGAGGCTCTGAAGAATCTCGACTTCTTGCCCGACGCCTTCCAAGCGAACCAAGTCCTCAAGCAGCTCCAAGATTACCGAGTCGCCGTCGGGTTTTTCTATTGGTTGAAACGGCAGCCTGGATTCAAGCACGACGGGCATACGTATACGACGATGGTCGGAATCCTCGGCCGAGCCCGGCAGTTCGGGGCGATCAACAAATTGCTCGGTGAGATGGAGAACGACGGATGCCGGCCGAACGTCGTCACCTACAACCGTCTTATCCACAGCTACGGTAAAGCCAACTACTTGAGCGAAGCTATCGGCGTTTTCGATCAGATGCAGAAGATAGGCTGCGAACCCGATCGCGTGACATACTGTACGTTAATCGACATCCACGCGAAAGCCGGGTTTCTCGACGTGGCGATGGATATGTATCGGAGGATGCAACTAGCCGGGCTGTCGCCGGATACGTTCACTTACAGCGTAATCATCAATTGCCTCGGGAAAGCTGGGCACTTGGCGCCCGCCCACAAGCTGTTCTGTGAGATGGTCGAGCAAGGGTGCACGCCGAACCTCGTGACGTACAACATCATGATTGCGTTACACGCGAAGGCGAGGAATTACCAGAGCGCGTTGCGGGTTTATCGGGACATGCAGAATGCTGGATTTGAGCCGGACAAGGTGACCTACAGTATAATCATGGAGGTTCTCGGACACTGCGGCTTTCTCGACGAAGCCGAGGCTGTTTTTATTGAGATGAAGGAGAAGAATTGGGTTCCCGATGAGCCCGTCTATGGTCTTCTCGTCGATTTGTGGGGGAAAGCCGGGTATATCGATAAGGCGGGGGAGTGGTATCAAGCGATGCTTGCGGCGGGACTACGACCGAACGTCCCGACGTGTAATTCTCTCCTTAGCGCGTATCTGAGGGTCCACCGTCTTCATGATGCCTATGATTTGCTTCGGAGTATGGTCGATTTGGGGATGAACCCGTCGCTGCAGACGTACACGCTTCTTCTCAGTTGCTGCACCGAAGCGAGAGAATCGCTCAACATGTCGTTTTGCTGTCGGTTGATGACGTTGACGGGACACCCGGCGCATACGTTCCTGTCGTCGATGCCATCATCGGCCCCCGATGGGCAAAATGTTCGGGACCACGTTAGCACGTTCCTCGACATGATGCATAGCGAGGATCGGGAGAGTAAACGGGGGCTTGTCGACGCCGTGATCGATTTCTTGCACAAGACGGGTCTGAAGGAGGAGGCCGGGTCGGTGTGGGAAGTCGTCGCGCAGAAGAACGTCTATCCCGACGCCGTCAAGCGGAAAAGCTCGAGCTACTGGCTCATAAACCTGCACGTCATGTCGGACGGGACCGCCGTGACAGCGCTGTCCCGAACCCTCGCGCGGTTTCGTAAGGAAATGCTCGTTTCGGGGGTGTCGCCGTCGCGAATCGATATCGTGACTGGGTGGGGCCGGAGGAGTCGGGTGACGGGAACGTCGCTCGTGAGGCAGGCCGTCGAGGAGCTGCTCAGCGTTTTCCGGTTCCCGTTTTTCATGGAAAACGGGAACTCGGGATGCTTTGTCGGGTGCGGGGAGCCTCTCAACCGGTGGCTGCTGCAGCCGTGTGTCGACCGGATGCACTTGCTGTAGGTTGCCACGGCGAATTTTGGCGGGTTTCGGGTCGGGTTTGGTCGGGTCGGGATGTTGTGTGTGTCTGTATGTTTCTTGTGACTTGGATTGATTTAAGTTTATAAGTGTTGTTATTTGTTAACTGCTTAGCCATTTTTTGATTTGAATGCCTTTGTTTGTTTAAACGACAGATTGTTTGTTTTCCTTTTTCAAAGTTTTGGGATTTTGAAAGTTTGAAAAGAATTAAAAGCTAATATTGATTGATATTTTGTGAAAAAAAAAAAAAAAGTATTTTATGTGATTTTTTAAAGTTAAATGGTGTTAGTCTTTAAAATTGTTGTGTAAACAAAGTATTAGGGTATGTTCTTTTTGTATTTTTTTTCGTATGTATATATTTAAAAAATATTACATATATTCATTATTTTTATATTATATGTATAATTTTATTTATTTTACAAAATAAACACATTCTAGTTTTGACGTCAAGAAAATTTTATATATTACTTTAGTTACGGTGCTGATTTTGTTAAGTTAATCAATCTACTTATATTTATAAAACAATAGGACATATTATCTTCATTTACAAACTCTTATTTAGAATCTTCAATAACTACTGTCTTTCTTTTTTTATATATATTATATAAATTTTACTTTTTTTTACTTTTTTTTATTTATTATTTATAATATATATTTTATAACAAGGGTAAATTTGTCAATTTATAAAAAAAATAATAATTATCTAAAAAAATCGTTCAAATATACTTTAGAATAAAATAAATTAAATTGAGAGAGTATTTTATATCATATTATATAAGTATATTTAACATATTATATGGTTACATGTACCACATTATATAATAAAATGCAACATAATATGTTATGATTGTAGTATAACACAACAATACGAGTTAAATAATAAAAAAATATTTTTTATTTTTTATTTTTAATTCAAATTTGACTATTCATTATTTTTTTAAGCAAATATTAAGTTTGTTCACTCAGTATTTTTCAATAAAATAATTCTTTATAAATATAATTTAAAAAATAAAATATACACAAATTAATATGATATATATCATCCATGAATCAGACTTTGTGAACAAACTGATTATTAATTCTTTAAATTATTATGAACAATATATTTAATTTATATAATTTTGTTGCACTGTGCGAATTTTGTTTCTAATATATTTAATATCTTCTCAATTAATCTGTAGCAGCTAGAAAAGATGTAATTGATCGGTAAATAATTTTATTCAAATAATAAATTTCAATTTTTTCTCTAAAAATATATATGTTCTATTATATATTCCTCTTTATATTATTTTATATTTATAAATTATATACAACTTTATTAATATGTAATAAATATAAAAAAAGAAATTGAGTAGATATAATAATTACTCCCTCCGTCCCAAAAGATTTATTTTGTTTTTCTATTTTCGTTCGTCCTAAAACAATTTTCTTGTTTTCTTATTTAGTAGCCGTGGTCCCCACTTTATAACAAAATTATTCATACTTTTCCATACTATCATGCATTTTAGTCATTTACATTCTATTTTACATTTACTTTCAATTAAATACTATTATTCCTTAATTCTCGTGTTAATTCTCAATAAGGCACCTCTTTTGGGACGGAGGGAGTACATTGGATGTTCTCTTAAAAAAGTTACCTTCAATATAAAATATAATTTTTAATTAACGATACTACTTCTTTCCGTACGGTTAAAAAATGTCATTTACTTTTTAAGTATTAATCTTTTAATATTAATTATTATATCAAGATATAATACAAATTAAAAATAAAATTACAAAAATATTTTAAGTAGTAGTGTCTTATAATAATAAGAAAGACATTTGTAAAAAAAAATATTATACAAATATAAATATTTTTTTAATAATAAGTAGGCAAAATATAAATATGACTTTAGAGACATGAGTATATTTTTCATAACTCACTTAAAAACACTTCAAATTACTTCAAATTGAAACCTAAACAAACACACCCTATATTTGTTTGTGAACACATTAGACTGCACTTTTAATTTCATGTTTTATGTGTTAGGTGGGATGTGATTTGTCCTAATTAGTACATTAATTTATCTGAAAAAATTAATACAACCAATGAGTGTGCTTGTTTTTTATTTGAGAAAAATTATACTCCCTTTTGTTCTTTAGCTTATCTATCAATATATTTTTTATTTTATTTTATTTAAATATCTATTTTTTTTAGTAATTATATTATTTATTTAACATTACAAATATTATTTCAATTTATAATATATTATACAAATACTATTATATTTATATCATACAATACTAATAAAATTAATTTAATATTTTTACTTTTATTTCTACTCCGTTCCAATATTTCCAATATAGTATGATGAAAAAAAAAAAATGACGGTCAATATGTTCAATTTCAATGTATTTATTTTTTATTTTAATAAAAAATATTCTTACATTTTATATAATATTATATACAATATTATAGCAAATATATAAATTTAAAGATAAAATTATTTTTTTATCTTTATATTATACTATTACTTATAAAATATTAATTATTATTTATGTCATGTAAAAAATACAAATACTAATTTTTACAAAATATTATTTAAATTAAAATTTAAATAAAAAATCTCAATGTGAAATAAAAACGAAAAGGAGTCCAATCAACAACGCAAGGAGAAAAATGTAATTACGGAATATATTGTAGGCCGATTCGTAATTAAGCAGCAGTGCAGTGGTATTTATAATTTATACGGTAGTATAAAATAAAAACGTATGTGAGTAAATTCGATGTATTTTAGGCCCAAAGGCAAAAGCCCTCTTTCCCTTCCCCCTTCCCCTTCATCTTCCCACTCCCTCTCTCTGCTCTCGCTTCGCTTCGCTAAACGGGGTAGGTTGGTGTGTCTCGCTCTCCGCATCCACACCCACACCCAAATCCACCATCTCTGCGTCGATATACGTCAATCGGAGAATAACGCCCTCGCCTCGGATTGTTATCCTCCAAGATTTCGGGGTAAATCTCTCAATATCTGCATTTAATACACGATTTTGGTTCTGATTCGGGCAGGCTCTATGTGTGTTGTGTGTAGATTCGATAGCTCTGGCTATTGGATTTATGCATGCAATTAAGTAGGGATTGGGGAATCTGGTATGGGGCACAAGAAGCGGAACGTCGCTCCTCGCTCCAGGACGTTGCAGTCTCCGTCTTCTGCGGACGCTGGGGTTCCGAACCCCGACCAGTCGCCGGACGCGGCGTTGGCGACTTTGGAGGCGGCGAGGGATTCGGAGGGGAGTAGCAATGCAAACTCTTTGTCTTCTTCTTCTTCTTATGCTGCAGTGAAGACTGATTGTGACCGGGCGCTCACGGCTTGGCGGCGGGGAAACCACACCAAAGCCCTTAGATTGATGAAGGATTTGTGTTCGAAGCACGAGAATTCTCCGCACCTGGCCTTGATTTACCGCGTTCAGGGTACTGTTTTGGTGAAAGTAGCTTCTATTATCGATGACACAAATTCCAAGCAGCGGCATTTGAAGAATGCCATTGAGAGTGCGAGGAAGGCGGTAAGTCTGTCTCCTAATTCTATTGAGTTCGCACATTTTTATGCAAACTTGCTGTATGAGGCGGCCAATGATGGCAAGGAATATGAGGAGGTTGTGCAAGAGTGTGAAAGGGCTTTGGCGATTGAAAATCCTGTGGATCCTGCCAAAGAGAGTTTGCAAGATGAGAACCAGCAGAAGATATCTACTCCTGAGGCGCGAGTTGCTCATGTTCAAAGTGAGCTCCGTTCATTAATCCAGAAATCAAATATTGCATCTATTTCTACTTGGATGAAGAATCTGGGCAATGGGGACGAGAAGTTTAGGCTGATTCCGATCCGGAGGGTGCCTGAGGATCCCATGGAGCTGAGATTGGTTCAAGCAAAGAGGCCAAATGAGATTAAGAAGGTGGCAAAGACACCCGAGGAGAGGAGGAAGGAAATTGAGGTGAGAGTGGCTGCAGCTCGCCTATTGCAGCAAAAGTCAGAATCGTCTCAGTTGAGCAATAATGGAGATGAGAGTAGTAACAGTAGCAAGGGGGTGGATTCTGGTCCTGGATCTGGCCATAGAACAGGAGAAAGAAGGAGAAGTGGAAATGTGAGGAAAATTGCATCTGCAGATGAGAGGATAGATTGGGTCCGATCATATTGGAATTCGATGATTTCGGATAGGAAAAAGGAATTGCTAAAAATTAAGATATCAGATCTAAAGGCTCATTTCAGTTCATCAAAGGATGGGTCACTGATTGAAGTTCTCAATGAAGCTTTGTCTTTTGGGGAAGCACATAAAGTGTGGAGGTTTTGGACATGCTTTCGGTGCAATGATAAATTTGCTGATGCTAATTCATTCATGCAGCATGTTGTGCAGGAGCATATGGAGAATTTGCTTCCCAAACTGCAGTCAATCTTGCCACAAAATGTGGAGAATGAATGGGCTGAAATGCTTCTTAACTGCTCCTGGAAACCCTTGGACTTAAATGCTTCGATTAGGATGCTTGAGAAACAACACCCGAAGTCTAACATACCTGATGGATCGTGTCAGAGATATGGAGGAGACAATTTGATACAACGTTCTGTTGTGACTAACTCTGAATTGGAATCAAATTCATCACCTCAAGACAAGAATTCTGGTGATAAATGCAATGGTAATGCTGATGACAGCAGACAGTTTGATGATGTGGAATGGATGGACTGTGATGGAGATAATAATTTGAAGGAAAGCGTACTTCATGAAAACTGGCCTGTTTCTGATGACCTAGACCGCTCAAAGCATTTGGAAAAAATCCATGCTATTTTCCAGACACTTATCAGAAACAAGTGTTTGGCATCAAGCCACCTAACCAAGGTTGTGAACTTTGCGGTGGAGGAGCTCCAGGGTATAGGTTGTGGTTCACAACTTTACTCCTACATCAACCAAACTCCTCTGTGCATCTGTTTTTTGGCTGCAGAAGAGCTCAAGAAAATCCTGAAATTTTTGCAGGAAATTGCTCAGTCTTGTGGATTAAATCGTTATTCAGATAAAAGTACTGGGGGAGAAGATTTAAACACTGATAAACAGGGTGTTGATACTACAGAAAAGATCATTTTCAGCCAAGATGCTTCTTTTCTGGTGCTTGATGAGAAATTTCTTCCCTGCAAGACCCCACAGTACTCATCTGAAATTTATGCTCTATCTACTTCTTCTCATATCAGATATGAGAATGGCATTGTTCTTGATTCAGATGCATTATTGTCCTGGATATTTAAGGGTGCTTCGAGTGGTGACCAGTTGGCATCCTGGAAACATACAAAAGAGGAGAAAACACAGCAAGGCATGGAAATCCTCCAGCTGCTTGGAAAGGAATCTTCTCATTTGCAGAATTTGTGTGAAAGAAAATGTGAACATTTAAGCTATGAAGAGGCATTGCAGGGTGTAGAGGATCTGTGTTTGGAAGAGGGAAAGAAAAGAGAACATATGGTTGAATTTACCCGCCAAAGTTATGACACGGTCCTTAAGAAAAGGCGGGATGAACTTTCCGAACATGAACGTGAAATTGGAGCTTTCAGCAACAGATTTGAGTTAGAGGCAGTGTCAAATGTTCTTAAAGATGCAGAATCTTTAAACATAAACCAATTTGGTTTTGAGGAAACATATAGCGGTGTTACATCACATCTCTGTGACCTGGAATCGGGTGAAGATGATGACTGGAGAACAAAGGACTACCTCCATCAGCTGGACTCTTGCATAGAAGTTGCTATACAGAGACAAAAAGAACAAGTTTCTATTGAGGTTTGACATAGTAGTTCTTCCTTTACTGATTTATGTTGGATTTGTATGTTGAAGCTGTATCTCACATTTATCCGCATTCAGATCAGTAAAATAGATGCAAGAATTATGCGAGCAGTTGCAGGAATGCAGCAACTTGAGGTTAAGCTTGAGTCAGCATCTTCTCATGATTTCCGTGCAATCCTAATCCCTCTAGTTAAATCATATATGCGGGTCAGTATATTATTGAACTCCATTTCCTAGTACATTACCATCTTATCCTTTTGCATTTAATGACAAGCTGGAATTCTACAATTACTGTTATTCTAGGCCCGATTGGAGGATCTGGCAGAAAAAGATGCTACTGAAAAATCTGATGCTGCCAGGGAGGCATTTTTAGCTGAACTTGCACTTGATTCTAAAAGGGGTGCTGGTGCTGTTGATAGTTCGAAACACATGCATGAGAGGACAAAGGACAAGAAAAAGAGTAAAGATAATCGTAAAAGCAAGGAGTTGAAGGTTTGAAGCTTATGATTGAACCTAGCCGTTGTTTGAAACAATTAGATACACATTCTTCCCAATTTTAGTTTTTCTCAAATGCTGGTTTTTACTACTGCAGATTGCTGATAGTGATGAATTGCAAGATCAGACTGCTGAAGGGATGTATGTCTCTCTTTCTATCTTGAAACACACCACTTGCATGCACAAAGTACTTTGTATTTTATATGAACTACATTATGTGCAATGTTTTAAGCTTCTTTTTTTTTTTTTTTTTTTTTTTCTGAAGCCAACCTCCTCCTTATTTGTCTTTGAGCTTTCATCATGATTGGGACCTATGTTTTGTTGGGAACCTAATGCCGGAGAAGCTGCTAATTTCATCTCTCCTATGGTTTCTTGCTAAAATCCATCTTCTATTTTGGTAGATTATATGTCTGGGCTTTGATCCTTCAGTGAACTAAACCTGTAATTCTTTCTTTCAATATGACCTCACTCGTCTGTCGCCTTAATTTCTTTCGTTATATCGTTCAACAATATTCTATCAGGGTTTATTTCTCCATTACTTCAGTGTGCTCATGACAGTGTTTCAAGCAATTGCACTTTGGATTAAACTTTTGAGTTGGTGCAGTTTAAGATTGAGTTCCATTTCTTATGCTGGGATATTTAAAGATTCCAGCAATCTAGGAAACTAAAAGCAGTGTAAAGATAGAATGTTCTTGACACAAATTTATTATTTAGGTAGTCTTGATTGGGACCACTAACTTATTGAATAAAATATCCTGGCTTCTGGTTTCACACCTCAGATCTGTTTGGGTGAATGTTTAATTTCCACCTAGGAGATCTGCTGAGACGGACAATCTATTATTTTGTTACTGTTGTGCACTTCTTGCAGAGTTCTTTCTCTCTTTGGTTATTTACTAATGGTTTTCCTCTGAGATTTATATTTAATATAAAACTAATGTTGCTTCAGATCACATGAAAATGGACAAGATGAGGATGGTCTAGGTTCTGGATTTGCTATCCCTGGACCTGATGATGCTTTACAACTTCAGGAGGAAGAATACAAACGTAGAATTGAACTTGAAGCTGAAGAGAGAAAGCTTGAAGAAACTTTGGAATACCAAAGGCGCATAGAAAACGAAGCAAAAGAAAAGCATCTGGCTGAGCAACATAAAAGATATTCAAAAGCTAGCGATTATGCAGAAACAATTATTATGGCAGATGCTAATTTGAGTCACTGCAATGACAGCAAGCATACTAATCAACAATTAGCAAATATGAAGGTTATACATGCTCTTTTCTAATTTTACCCCTCGCGTGATTTCCCACAAAGAAAGTTGCTGCCCCCCCCCCCCCCCCCCCCCCCCGCCTTTTTTTTCTTCTCTCTCTTGAAAGTTCAAAAAGTTTATGTAAGAAAAGAAATCAATATTTACATGAGGATGTGTAATATGACATTTCTGTAGGTACCCTCCATGCTCAAGGATGGAGTTACCAGGGTTTTGGAGGAAACACCAAAGAATACTGCAAATGGGGATATACCGAGGATTGGTATCATTTTATTTCATGAAAATATATTTATTCAGCCTTTTGTTGATATTCTTTTTGTATAACATAATCTGATATGCAGTGTTGTACATCCTTTTTGGCAGGCTTACAAAATGAAAATATTCCCCAGGATGATGGATCTTTTACTGATCGACGACCGGGACGAAGAGGCAGGAGAAACAGAGTTCCAAACAAATTGATTGATGGAAAGTCTCTAACCGTGACTGCAGACAAGGAAGATAAGGATCCTAGTAGATCTGCATTTGATCAAAATTCTCATGATGGTAGAGGTGCGTACCTGTAAACAAGTGTACATAGAGTTTTTCATTGAGATGAATCAATAGTTTTTCTTTGATATATTGGTATCTTGGTTGTGAAAGAATGTGCTTTTTGCTTGGACTAGCGAGGAGCTGTTAATATTGTTACATGCTTTACTGTTGGCTAATGGCTCATGTAGCCAATCGAGTTTTTGCTTTTCCTATGCATGATTTCTATTCTTTTCTTTCTATGTTGGTCTAAATATAGTATCCATCCAGAACTCATTCTGGTGGTTGTGGACCCATGTCTTTATATGGAATCTGTTCATGTCTTGTGAAAGCATGTTGGTAAGTCTTTGCTATATCCATCCCAAAGTTCTGTTGATTTCAATAAGCCAAAAGTGTGATGACTGCCCCTCTTTTTTTCAACCATAGAGTTAGTTATGCAAGTGTGATCTTTTGCTTCTCTTACCTGACTGAATGGATTATTAATACCTCGGAAGCAGTCACTGTGGATATTTGAATCTTGCCATAACTTGTATGACTGTTTGCAAAACCTAGAGGTTTTGAATAGTTTCTATGCGATACCAATTGTATCAACTGGTTGTATTTCTGGAAAAATCAGCTACTCCTATTCTGATGCTGGGACCTTGTGGCTAATGTTTTATGTGGTGAGGTTGATAAAGTTTTCCTAATCTAGGCAATCAGTTTACCCCTTCCTTATCCTCAGATCACCCTGTCTATCAGTTGCGGCGCTCTATTCCACTGATTACATTTTTGTTTGTGGTCATGTAACTGATTATATTATGCTGTAATGAAGTTAATCCTTTTATTTAAAATTTTGTAGATAATGAAGAAAAAACATTGAAACAGATTCATGTGGAGGAAGAAGATGAAGAAAGGTTCCAAGCAGACCTTAAGAAAGCTGTAGACCAAAGCCTTGGTATGTTTTTTTTCCTGTGTGTGCTTATATTGAGGGGAAGGGGGAGGGGTGGTTTCGGGAATTCGGAGTTCAATTCTTTTTCTTCCGTATTAATTGGATTTTGGGTTTTGTCCCAAATTTATTATTCTGATATCCTTTTTATGATGTCAAATGATTTCTACCATTTTATTCAAGTGGAACTGAAATAGCTAAGCTTTCACTGCCCTTTTAAGTATCTCATGTAAAAAATATACTGTGTAAAATCATCCAAAGCTTCAATTACAGTGCAGTGAGTGCATTAATTTTGTATAGAAATGAGATGATTAAGTATCTCATGTAAAAAATATACTGTGTAAAATCATCCAAAGCTTCAATTACAGTGCAGTGAGTGCATTAATTTTGTATAGAAATGAGATGATTTGAGCGGGATAAACTTGCCCGTTGCTTGTCATTCAGTGTGCTCAACAACTAATAGATATTTGTCCTTGGTGTTCTTATCAAGAAAATATCATACACTTATTACTATTTTTTACTTCATGCTGCATGAAAGATGCAGAAAAGTAGTGCTATTTGTTGTGCGTTCTAAGTTAACCTGAATGTTTCTTCAGTAGCATCTACAAAACTGTGTATATTGAGTGAACTTTTTCAGTTCCCACCTCAAAAGATTATGGTCAGCACGTGCCAGCTATATTAGGAAAATGAAGTTCCTATATCTGACATATGATCTGTCTTCATTTTTCCACATTTTGGTTTTGCATAGATTACATGTATGATGTATCAAAAATTATTACACCTGATGTTGGATTGGGCAATATATAACCAGGAAGTTTTAGAAGTGGGTGTTTATATATTTCTGATGTGGTTATAACAGAAGATGGTAATGGAGTGGATGTGTACGGGACTGGGCTAAAGAACGAAGTTGGGGAATACAACTGCTTTCTTAATGTCATAATCCAGGTTGAAATTTTAAGCCTGTTGCTCATTGATGTTTTGTTGATAGTTCCTCTCACACATTTGCCTTTGTTATCATACAGTCATTGTGGCACTTGAGACGTTTCCGGGAGGAATTTTTGTGGAGATCATCAGAAGTACATGTTCATGTTGGTGATCCATGTGTTATATGTGCTTTGCGTGGGATCTTTGTTGCTCTTAGCACATCATCAAAGGATAGCAAAGGAGAAGCTGTTGCCCCTACCTCATTGAGAGTTGCTTTAAGCAATTTGTATCCTGATAGTAATTTTTTCCAGGAGGTAACTCTGTAAATACTTATCTTTCTGCTTTGTTGTCGGTGGGACTAATATATTGTAAAATGTGATAGCTTTCCTGTAATACCTTTTGAGCATGGAAGTTCTTGCAACATATTATATAATTGCGGTAATCTTGTAGGGTCAGATGAATGATGCCTCTGAAGTGCTTGGGGTAATATTCAATTGTCTCCATCGGTCGTTCGCTGTTGCATCCGTTGCGTCTGATACAGAATCCGATGATAGTGACAGTGCAGGCTCCTGGGATTGCAAAAATGCTTCCTGCATTGCACATTCGATATTTGGAATGGACATATTGGAGAGAATGAATTGCTACAACTGTGGGTTGGAATCCAGATATCTGAAATACACATCTTTCTTTCATAACATTAATGCCAGTGCTCTAAGAACAATGAAGGTATGTCTTCTTTGCTAGAAGTATCCATATTCTACCTTATTCTTGTATAGTTCTAGTTGGTTATATACTGCACGTATTGATCTATAATTTCTGCAAAATGGCTGACATGTGGTGACTTGCATCACTATTTAGGTTACGAATCTGGAGAACTCCTTCGATGAACTTCTGAATCTTGTTGAAATGAACCACCTGTTAGCTTGTGATACAGAGGCTGGTGGATGTGGGAAGCTCAACTATATCCACCACATTCTCTCCAGTGCACCGCATGTTTTCACTGCAGGTGCCTTTAACTACCAATTTAAATATTTTATTTTGTTTCAAAATTTTTTTTCCCTCATGTTATTTCATCTCTGTTATTCTTGTGAACTGTGCATGTGCCCTCGTAGTTCTGGGATGGCAGAATACTTGTGAGAGTATTGAAGATATAAGAGCCACATTATCAACTTTATCCACTGAGATTGATGTCAGCATCCTGTACCGGGGTCTTGATCCACAAAATAGACATTGCTTGGTTTCAGTGGTATGCCTACCTGATCTTGTTTAATTTGAAGTTTGTTTTTATATATGAAATATTCTTGAGAATTCCAAAATATTCGTAATTGAGTGCCTGAATTGTTCTAATTTTTGCAGCAAAAGTAGGTACTAAACTGAATTTTGAATAGTCGAACCTGGGCCATCTACTCTGCGTGTGTGTTGTTAGTTAGGTTCTTTTTATTCATACATTTATTCTACATGAAAGTGAAACAACCTTGAAATGTTGAGAAAAGGCAGCAGTTTTACTTAGGAAACTTATTCATGATCTGCGGCTGTTACACTTTGGGTGTGTTTGTTTGAAGGATTTTGGTGGATTTCCACTATTCATCCAATTTTTTCCCCCCAAAAACATCAAATCAAACACCTATTTTTCATTTTTTATATTATACTAAAAATCAATTTTACATTCAAAACATCACATCAAACCCTATTTATATCACATCATACAACTATTCAAATTCAAAATTTTTACTATTTAAATCCCAACTCAAAATCCAAACCTCCAAACAAACACACCCTTTATAAATCGAATAGTTTTTAGTTTTGCCCTGATTGTGTCTTTTAGTGTTGTAGAACCGGTGTCTAATGCTGCAAGTATGAGCTCGTCTTATTAGTAGCATAAGACTGAACACTAAAAGACTGTTTGTCGTGCATTTTATTTAATATGGAATCAGATGAGATGCAACTCAATCTTTTAAAAAATCTTATCCATTATCCTTCACCTTCCTCTCGATCTAATTGGATGTTGATATCTATCAGACTGCTCCCCTCATCTTTTGCTTACGCATATCTTCTTTAATAGTGCATTTCGTAATTCAGTTGAGTTTCTAGCTTCTATATTCACTAATTCTGCATTCATTCCAATCTTGTTTTTACCTCGAAGAACTTGCACAAAATCATAAGCCAAATACATGGACGATCGCCTCTTATATGATAAACTTATAAACATTCTTCTACTTGTTAGTGTTTAATCGAGTAAGGCATAGTAGAGCTGTTGATTTCGAACTCTGAACCTTGTGTTGTCAGGTTTGCTACTATGGGCAACACTATCACTGTTTTGCCTACAGTCACGATCATGGGCAGTGGATCATGTACGATGACAGAAACGTGAAGGTATGCTGTTCTAAGATTCTCCAGATTTAATTCGAAACATCTCAATTCCTTTTGTTCCGTGCTTTATACATATATATATATATATGTTTTGTTACTACCAGGTAATTGGTGATTGGAACGATGTTCTAGCAATGTGTGAAAAGGGGCACTTACAACCCCAACTCCTTTTATATGAAGCTGTAAACTAGTATTACACCTAGTTGCTACTAAAAGAATTGAGCTAATCATCTTGCCTGGATTTGTTGATGCAATACTGGTCTCTATCAACCCAAGAGTTGTACTACACAAGGTAAAAAAAAGTATTATGCTAAAGGCAGGGAGGAAAAACGTCCCAAAATAATTCAGGACAAAAGCCGATACTCATTTTGTACTAAGCTCACAGAGGACTCCACCAGCACCTTAGTTTTCTTACTTATATCTGATGTATGGGCTGTCTGACTTTCCTCAATCAATCGGGCTTAAAGATTATCCGATGCAGCGCCTTAAGAAGCCCTCCTTGTATGTCTGTCTTCTGCAGTGCTGGTATGTTCTCAGTCTCATCTCGATCTCTGTTGATGTCACAAACTGAAGTGTATACAAGAAGTTCTTGTACTTAAGACAGTCTTTTTATGGCATTATTAGTGTCATAGAACAATATATATATATATGTATAGATGGATCAGGAAGAACCAATGGGAAGGAAATTTTTGGTGTAGGGGTCATCTTCAACTGACTGTTTTTGTATGGGACCTAATCACAGACAGGATATTATAATCATTTTGGGAGAAATGATTCCTACAAAATATTGAGGTATTTTTTTATTATTATTATTATTTATTGTTATTATTAATTTTCTATGGAAAAAGGGATCATAGGAATGTCACTTAATTTGGCATTGGTATCATATTGTTGAAGTTGTTAAAATGGGTAGTGATTTTCCCTTGAAAGAAGGTTGGCTTGGGCTGTTAGTAAAATAATGATTATAGTTGCAGGTTGGTTTGTCGTGAAAAATTATAGTCCTTTCGTCTATAAAAATTAGTTACATTTCTTTTGTAAATTACAAAGGATATGTAACTAATTTTTGCCAAAATAATATATTCGTGTCATCCATAAATTTTAGTTTATTTATTATTTTTTTTAACTAATTTTATTAAAAGTAAGTACTCCGTACCTAAATAAAATATTCTTGCATTTTTATTATACAACACTAATAGATATTTTTTTATTTTTTAATTTGAATACTTTTTTTGAAAAAAAATAAAAAATAAAAAAATATTTGAATGCCGGATAAAGTAAATATTATTTAAAAATATATAACATTGAAACTAAAATAATTATAATCATCCAGAAAAATTTATAACCATCAATTAAAAATATAAATTATCATTTTGTTTCAAATATATATATATATATTAATTTATAATTTTAAAAATAATAATTATATAATGAAAGATAGGAATGTGGCTTATAAATTTCAATTTTCCCATCTCTTCGGAAAAATGCCAACACAATGGCCTATCAACTAGGCTTCCAGGTCGCTTGGTGCAGAAATAGTGGCATTGATTGTCTTCTCTCTTTGTGATTTATTTTTTTCTATTTCTCTCTCCCACCTTTTCTACCAGCAAATAAATCGGATGTTACCTGTCCCACATGATTCGTCTAGTGTGACTTTCCTGTCGGACTTAGTTTGCAGAGTATTAGGTTCGGCCGGGGGTTTACCCATATTGAAATTGAAAATGGAATTGAAGAAGGAATGAGAGAAAGTATATTTCATTTTATCCAAAAAAATTAGAAAGAAAGTATATTTCATTTTATCCAAAAAAATTAGAAGACAAAGATAAGTGATGATCCTTTTATATTAGATTCTCACACTACATGTATGCGCGAATCTGGGCCATTTATTCTAAGATTAAATCAAGGCCGTACAAAACAATAACAAACAAATCTCAAGACCCCCTATAAGGATGGACCCTATGTAAATCGACAAGGCCCATCTTGGACAACAACAAAGCAAAGCGTGGACCGGCCAAGCTTTTAGTGAAGAGATCTGAGAGCTGAAGAGATGTGGAGATATAGACCGGAAGCAGAAAACCAGACTTGAAGAGATCACGGACATAGTGACAATCCAATTCAATGTGCTTTGTTCGCTCATGATAGACTGGATTCTTGGTTATCTGAATAGCTGCAACATTGTCACAGTGAATAGAGATGGGAAGAGGAATTTGGAGATGAAGATCATGGAAAAGATAGGATAGCCACGATAATTCCTTAGCAATAGAACTGAGCGCACGATACTCTGATTCAGCGGAGGATAAAGCAACGGTGGTTTGTTTCTTACTACGCCAAGATATAAGAGAAGCTCCCATGAAAATACAAAATCCAGTTATGGACTTTCGAGTAATCTTGCATGTCCCCCAATCAGCATCTGAATATCCCATAAGAGAAATAAGAGTATCAACTGAGAAAAATAGCCCAATAGATGAACTCCCTTTCAAATACCGAAGAACATGCAAAGCACATTCCCAATGCACTTGTTTAGGTGATCCAACAAACTGACTTAGTTGTTGTGTGGCAAATGCTAAGTCAGGACGAGTAAGATTGAGGTATAAAAGCTGACCAACCAATCGTCGAAAGGGAAGGCAATCATCCAAGAGTGTTGATGTATCATCATACAATAATAAACCAGGAGGAATAGGTGTAGATGCAGGTCTGCATCCCAGTAAACCAAAACGATCAAGGATGTCTAAGATGTACTTTCTCTGACATACATATGCACCAGCTGTGCCTCGAGCAATTTCCATTCCTAGAAAATAACAAGCTTGACCAAGATCTTTAATAGTGAACTGATCATGCGGAAAAGTCTTGAGCAGAACAAGATCTTGTTCAACTGAGCCAAAGATGAGAACATCATCTACATATACCAATAAACTTACAGACTTGGCCATTTGAAGCTTTATGATATCCTTGAGGAGGAGACATATTGATCTCATCCGTTAAGTGACCATGGAGAAAAGCATTATTAATGTCAATATGATGGATAAACCAATCCATAAAAGCTACAATAGAAAGAAGAAGTCTGACAGACACCAGCTTAGCAACTGGAGAAAACACCTCCTCATAGTCAATACCATATTCTTGCATATACCCTTTAGCAACTAATCGAGCTTTCAATTTTTCCACAGTACCATCAGGATTTAGCTTCACTTTGTATACCCATTTGGAACCAATAGGATTCTTACCAGCAGGCAGATCTGTTAGAACCCAGGTTCCATTTGTTTCAAGGGCAGCAAGCTCTGCATTCATTGCTTCTATCCATCCATGAGATAAACTTGCCTCTGTGTAGGACTGAGGCTCTTTCAAATCATTGATTTGAACCAGAAAGTGGGTGAATTCTGGTGTAAATAATGGAGATGTGATAAAAGGAAATGTCAAAGGAGTAACAATATGAGTAGAAGGTGTTACTGTAGATGGAAACTGTGCAGAACATACTGCAACAAAATCCTGCATCCAACTAGGGGGCTTGACTGCTCTCTTCCCCTTGTTGACAACAATGCAATATGGTAAAGGTTCTGAAATCACAGGAGATGACTGAGTATCAGTATCATTATCAATGTTGCTGTCAAGATCTGATATAGATGAAGGTGATGATGATTGTTCATTCAAAATAATAGAAGTTGGAGAATGAGAATCAGGCATAGGTGAAGAAGGAAAATGATCTAAATTATTGGATGATATTAAGGGATCAAATGCATTAGTAATAGAAACTTATGCAATTGGAATCAGATCAGAATCTGGCATTGAGAAAGTATATATAGTATCAAAACATTTGATATCTCTGGCAACAAACACTTTCTCACCTTCAAGATCAAACAGAGAATGTCCTTTATGTCCAGGTGCAACTCCCAGCATTATGTATGTGATCGATCTGCTATCAAATTTCTTTCTTCCAGGAGAAACATCCACAACATAGACCAAGCTACCAAAAGGATGATAATCTTGAATATTAGGTTCTGTACCATATAGAAGCTCAAAAGGACTCTTCCAATGAAGAAGAGCACTAGGCAATCTATTGAGTCATGTGGCAAAAAGAATGGAATAGGACCAAAACTTCATGGGAAGTTTGCTCTGAAACATAAGAGCTCTAGCTACTTCCAATAGAGTCCTATGCTTTCTTTCAACTAAACCATTCTGCTGTGGGTTGTAAGAACAAGATCTCTGATGTAAAATTCCTTGTTCAGAAAGCATAGCAGAAACATTATGATTCACAAATTTCGAACCATTATCACTTCTGATACATTTAATGGTGCATCGAAATTGAGTTTTCACCATTTGTATGAATTGTTTGAGAATTCCATGAACTTGTTGTTCGGAATTCATCAAGAATATCCAAGTACACCTACTAAAATCCTCCACAATAGTAAGTATATATGGATTATTAGTAAGATTGTTAGCATGATAGGGTCCCCAGGTATCAAGATGTATTATATCAAAAGCCTTCACTGCTCTATGTTGTTTGAGAGGAAAAAGGTTTCTGCATTGCTTGGCTTTATGACACGCAACACAAGCTTTAATCACTTTCCTTTCTTCATCTGTGATAAGCTGTTGGACTATCTTCATATGCTGAAGAGTGGTGAGAGAGGCAGGTCCAAGAATTTTATGCCAATCCAGAGCACTTCTTGTGGCTAGATCTTGTACTGAGTTAACTTTCTTGTCAACACACGAATCTATAACATACAATTTTCCCTTTGCTTTGGCAATTCCCAGAACAGCATCTCCATGTCTTCTCTGAATGAGGCAGTGTGATTCAATAAAAGTACATTTGATATTGCTGTCTTTAGCTAACTAAGCAACAGAGAAGAAATTATGAGTGAAATTAGGAGCCACTAACACTCTCTCCAATACCAAATTTGGAGTTAGAATAACCTTTCCACAATACTTGATGACCTGTGCTGAACCATCTGGTAAGAACATCTGCTGAATTCCATCAAGTGTTTGCATCTCTGCCAACATTTCAGCATTGCAACAAACATGAGTACTAGCTCCTGAATCAATGATCCACTCTAGTTCTGATTTATTTTGTGTAATTCCAAAAGCAAAATGGCCACCTGCACTAGTACATGGATCAGATTGAGAGTTGATAAGATTCACTTTCCCATCTTGTGATTCTGATTTACTTCCTTGATTGAACTTCATAAAACATTTATGAAATTGCTCTTCAAAAACCTGTTCCATAGTCTGAATGTTGTTATCTGGAACAACTTCTTTGTTGTGAATCACATTCAATGCTTGTTGTCTACTCTTCATATACTCTTTATACTTCTTGTACCACTCAGGAATACCATGGAGTTTGAAACACTTAGTGACATCATGTCCAGTTTCATTACAATGAGTGCATTTAAGCTTTCTCCTTTCTTCTCTTGAGAACTTTGGTCTAAAACCTACTCCTTGAGGTTTAGAAAATTTTTTATTCCTCACATTCATAGCAGATTCAGTATTATGATTGACCTGGTTAGACACTCTTCTTTGATCCTCATCTTGTAGGATCATTGAATAAACCTTGCTGACATTTGGTAACGGATCCATCAAAAGGATCTGACCTCGAACATTATCAAAGCATTCATTCAAACCTAGCAAAAATTGATTCACCTTTTTCCTCTCAGCCACACTCTTATTTGTTTCATTTGCTTCACAGGTACAATTAGCATGGGGAATCAACAGGTTCATTTCATCCCAAATAGCATTCAAATTGTTGAAATAGTTCATAACAGATAAGTTGTTTTGAACACACAACATCAGTTCTCTTTCTAGCTGGAAAATCTTAGGA